ACACCACTCTTAAAAGTGTGTTTTCGAAAGGACATTAAGGCTTATTTAAGGAGTAGTCATCCGCTCCTGCGTGGAAAAAAAAAAAAAATTAGTCGAAGAAACACCACTCTTAAAAGTGTGTTTTCGAAAGGACATTCAGGCTTATTTAAGGAGTTGTCATCCGCTCCTGCGTGAAGATAAAAATAAAGAAATCAATCTTAAGCAAGCTTTAGTCGCTATGACTTAAGTAAAGATAAAGAACGGCCAGAGCGGTAGGGCTCAAAGCCAGAGATCAGCAACATCACTAGCGAGATGTGTCTGAAATAATAATAAAAAGTGAAGATTAACCTACCAAACAAACAAACAAATTAAAAGAAATAATAACAAGGTGAAAATGATGGTGATATTTATACATATATACAAATTAGCAGTTAATAAATGTTTAGATATTTATACATATATACAAATTAACAGTTAGTAAATGCTTAGAAAAGTTATGAATCGTCTCGCTTCAGCTTTGAAAAACAATTTTATATAAAGTGTAAAGTTCAAAGTTAAGTTTAAGAAATAAAGATTTAATTGAAAAGTAATACCTCTTTAAGTTACCGAGAATAAAAATATTAGAGTGATGAATGTAAGTGAAGTGTTGAATGTAGGTCTAAATATAGTCTAGATAAGTTGAAACACTAGATGAAGTGTTGTTTTAGAATTTGGAAGGTATGAAAAGGATGAATAAATGAATGATGAATAATGAGTTAAGAACGAAAGGGAGAGCAATTAAATCAAAAGGGAATGGACAAGGCGCAGTAAAGGTGAAGAATTAAGAGAGAAAGAGGACTTTTACGTTGGGCGCCAAATGTCGTGAAGCGACAATAAAAAAAAATATAGAACCTAACCTAAGTACAACAAAACAACAAAAGTAAAGACAGAAAACAATATATTTAAATTTTTAAAAGGTATTTACAATTTTATAAAAAAAATGAAATGAGGATGATGATGAATGAAGTGAGAGTACAATTAGATTACAAAAAAATAAAGGTAGGAGAATAGGGGAATATAGAGTTGTAGTGGAGCCTAAAAGTCGAAGCGACACACGTTGCGATTGTAGAGGTAGGTTTCTTAGCAGCGACGGCACGCTGCGCCTGAAGCCAGCACACGCCGGTTGCGCTTGTAGAGGTAGGTTTTTTAGCAGCGACGGCGCGCAGCGCCTGGAGCCAGCACACGCAGCGTCCGGAGCCGGCGCACGTAGCGCCTGGAGAAGGGGCGCTCAACGCTTAGAGCCAGCAGTTGCAGCGCCCAAAGGTAGCGCCGGCGGTAGGTGCACTCGGCGCCTGGAGTAAGCAGTCGTAGCGCCCGGAGTAGTGTGGCCCCCGCGCTTGAAGTAGACTGCCGACGACTTCCGAGGTAGATGGAGGCTTGTAGGATTCCGGAGTGGTGCGGCTCCGCGCTTGAAGAAGGCTTTGCCGAAGACTTCACGTGTAGGTGGAGGCTTGCAAGATCCCGGGGCAGTGCGGCCCCGGGATAAGGCCTTTAGGAGATACTTCCAATTCGCGAACTGAAGCGAGACTGCCTTTCTTCACCGATTGTTCGGCTTTTATACCTTTCTAGAGAGAACGGAAAAATTATTTAAATTAAACGCAAATTTTTTGTAAATGGTCAAGAGAAAAGAGTATTTATGTGGAATTATCGAAATAGGAACAACAGATCGGTAGCAAATTTGAATATAATTACTATGGAAACGAAATAAATAACAATGACAAAACATGTCAAATTTTGGTTTTAGGTTTATAATAAGAAAACGGTAAGATTTAATTGGAAAATGAGATATTATTGATATAGGAAAAAAGGTAGCGCAGCTGCCCACACAAAGCCCAAGATTGTAGAGTTACGGAAAACTAGCTAAAAGATCGAAAAAAGGTAGACTCCATTGACACCAATTTAAAAGTGCTGATAATGTGAAAATACGAAGTAGAAATGATTTGTTATTGTGTTCTTATGGTTTAAAATCGTTACAGGATCCTATGGAAATAAAGGTGATGTAAAATATCCAGTTTTGAGGTGAATGCAGAAAATCGAAACGGAATGGAAAAATGAATTTAAAATAATGTAAAATGATACGTAAGTAGTATAACACTACAAGTTATAGTAAGTACCTGTATTTAACAACAAAACTTGCTATATAGCAGCCTTCACGAAACGATATAAGTCTAGCTTTAAGATGTAGGTACATAAGCTATTTGTTTATGCCCAAATTTGTTTGCCAAACCAATTGCGTTCAGTCTGGCGCCTCACCCGATGGTATGTAGGTGAGATAAGCGCTGAGGTGGGGCGACCGAGCTCGACGCGTGGGGGTCGATCGCTCGACGCGTGGTGGAGGGGTCGGTGCCCCGCCGGCCACGAGGGCCGTCAGACCTCTTACGTAAATTCGCGGCCCGTCGTGGATCTAGATAGCTAGATGAAGATATCGTTATAATTGAATCGTCGCGTTAGTGCCTTTTGTGTTTGGATTGCCTAGTTAGATTAATTTGCGTGTCAACAAGGCGTATTTTGACTCTGGTGCGACGTGTTATTCTGGTGCCGAATTTATAATTTGTGATAAGGGAATCCGGGACATTCAATGTCGATTTTTGTGCTACTGTCCTTGCCGTGTCGGATATCACGTGTTCGATTCTGTGATGAGTGTAGAATTAGGCGAATTGAAGTTAGTTAAATGTACCATGAAGCTGAGAGACTGAGTAGTGACAGTGAAGAAAGAAGTGGTCCGGCGCTGAAGCCTGCTGGAGCGATGCAGCATTTTGGGGCAGCCTGGAACTCGGCCGCTGCTGGTCGCCTAAGCTTGCTCAGGTCGCACATTTACACCTCACTGTACACTACTCGCCATCCACTATTACACACACTCACGGCCTGCCCAAGCCTTGGTGCGAAGTTAGCTTCGGATAATGGTAAGTACTATGTGTTTCTAGCTTTCTCCCATATAGTTTATTGTGATAGGAAATTCCACCCGGCCATATTGAGGCCCGACCTACGTCTGTTCGTTGAAACTCCGCTGATGGGCCCCGGAGGATTGAACCTTTGTGGGAGCAGCCGTAGGCCGTAACACTATTAATAGTTTAATTATCACAGTCAAAATATTCTAAAATAAATAAAATTTTTTCAAATTCACAATATTTTTTTGTAAGTTTAGTGTTACATTTTAATTTAAAATATGATGTATCTTACAACTTAACCACCCTTTTCGGGTATTACAATAATAGTTCTATGACTTACATAACTATATTGATCATAGTTAATCAAAATTATGAAAGAAATTAAATAGCTACTATTAAATTCTAAATAAATTGTTTTGGTTGTATCTAAATATTCTTTAAAACACAAAGCGCGCACACAACGAAAGAATCGCGCTCTTACTTTCTTGCTGGCTCACTTGATTCGTTCATGTACAGCAGCCCAAACTCGAGTTATGAAGATCAAAGTCGAGTTAACTTGAGTTAAACGCAACTCGAGTTAACTCGAGTTGACCCATCACTACTGAAGGTGTAGTACACACCCGTCAGGGTATATGTATTCTGTGAGTACACATGAGTAGTCTTAAGGTGGCTACTGACATGCCTGCCGCAGGGGCAATCTAGGGAGCACAGCGATCGGACCAATATCGGAGCTGTCTCTACATACACGCCTGCCATTCAGTATGAAAGTGTACGTCTCGCTTGACGCACGCGTTGAGAATGGCGCCAGTTTTATCGAAATATGAATAAATTGGTATATATAGCCCTGGCTCTTTTTTATACAGAATAAGGGTGACAAATAAGCTCAGTCCACCTGATCGTAAGTGGACACTGTGGCCCATAGACACCCACATTTATCAATAAAACAACTAATTAATTAATAATTACAACCATAATATAGTGCTTATAAGCTGCAGCATAGCTCTGCCTCGCTATTTTTAGGCTATCAAAGACAATTAAATATGACTAACTTCACTCGTCATAATTTAATATAACCAATTTATTCTACGATATAACTTTACTAACTATTGCTTAGTAACTATAATTTAACTAGTGTTAGAAATATTCAGGATAATTTTCTAATGATGAGTTTTAATAAATTTAATTACTAAAATTTGTATTTTTGTTTAATTATTTAGTTAATGACATTTTATTTATATTCCAGCAATTTTAATACTATTGGAATATTTTCTTTCCCATATAGCCCTTATGATAAGTTAGGTAACAAATCCCAGTAATGTTACTTGTAAGTTACAACTTTCAAATAACGTTTTTTCTGCGGTTTTGACTTGTACGGTATATATTACTCTACTCTATGCTTGTACTTATACGTGTGCTCCGCGCGAAAGTCGCAACGAACTGAACGAAGTTGCGCTACACACGTGACAGCGGCAGGGCCGATCTAGGGAGCAAGGAAGGTCTTGCGCTCCTGCCGCCCTGCAGGGCCGACCTAAAAAATTGCCCCGGCTTGCCTACACTTTATTCTATTTACAATTACATATTAAATCTCATAACCTGCAAAATGGCCTTCGTCTAAGCTTGCATTTAAAAATAGTAGTTAATATAAACTTAAAAAAAACTAAACTTAAAAACACTCGTCCTCGACGCTTAATGCAAACAAAACAATCGCAACGAATTTTAGCCTTGACTGACACTCAGGAATTGTTTACACAAACACAAAATCATAACAAATCAATTTTCTTTACTCGCTCACGCTCACACACAGAAACGCACAAGACCGCGTCGGTAACCTCCGAAAGTAACTAATATTTGCGAAGGAGAAAATTCACAGAAATGAATAAAATAATATTTAAATAATGCGTTGGGTGCGTTGACGTAAATTAACAGCTAATATTTTCAACCTGTTTTTTCATTAATGAGTAACAGATAACACACGACGAATGAAAAGCCGTTAAAGAAAACCGTTTATTGATTCAACGCCCACTTCTTGAACAGTTATCATTATCAGTTACTATTATATTACTATACTCTTTGGTAGTTGGTAGTATAAAATTTGCCTTCTTCTGTCTTGCCAATGCCACGTACTTTCTATCTTTTGTAGAAAGTTTTATATTTATATATTACTACATAATCACTAATCAGTGATCAGTAATTTCCAGATATGAATGTTAAATAATATTTTCCAATAATTATAATTATAAAATAAGTATTACGATGGGAATGGAAACACATAAAACTGAGGTATTTGAGTTATTTTTTAAAGATATTTTATTTTATTCCTTTCTTTTGTTATTTTTATGAATATTGTTATTATTTTATAGGATCGGCACCAGTCCGAATATCTCTATCGACCTGACATACTTCAGAAGTTAGATTTCAACAAAAGTCCAGCTGTTTTCAATCCAAGAATTAGTACAGTAAATCCTGGAGCTGACTGGATGGTTGTTAGACCATTGCAGCGAGGAGATTTTGACAAGGGCTTCCTACAATTACTTAGTCAACTAACAAGTACTGGAAGCATCACAAGAAAACAATTTGATGGTATGTTTTTCAAGTTTTTGATATATTTTTTTTTAAGTTCTTTTTAAGTGGTTAGTATTAAGGCGATATTGGGAGGTTTTTAATAATTACAAAAGTATATAGGTTTACATCAATTCATTTGTAAATTAAAACTTGAAATAAAACATTCTCATTTCTGTATTTTTATTAGATAGCACAATTTTAATTAACATACATCATAATTCTTTTACTTATGTTTGTATATTACACTACCATACAATTAAACCACCAAAAAAATAGTGCTTACTGTCTATGTCTAGTCATCATAGCAAGGGGTGGTTGGAAATAGGGGAATATGGCCTCTGGCAACAGTTAGGGGCAGCATTTTGAGAATGAAAGCCAAAACCTTATTTTTTTAATAATGCCAGTAAAAATCTCAAAAAATCTGAAAATTAAGTGTTATTGAATACTTTTGATTGAAATATTATGAATACCTAACATTGCAAACCCTAAATATTGAAATAATCTGTACCCACCTACTTGCCAAGTGTGGAGTAAGTATAAAAAATACATTATATTGTTCCATTCATATTTAAATAATATACAAGACCAATTTAATTTTTTTAAGATACTTTAAAATTAAGTGTTTAAGGGGTAAAGATAGCATTTTTGGCATTAGCAGTCCTGACAGCAGGATCCCTTGCTACATCACTGCTTATATTAGATTATTAGTTAGAACATTGTAAGTGGAAGTATTATTGAAAATATACTATCAAGACTTTCAGTTATGTGTATTCCAACAATACTTAAAACAATAAATAAATAAAAAGTATTTATTTGCCACAAAACAATACAATGTTAAAATTTAAATAGACAGCTTAATAATTAATTGTGACAAAACGGTCTGTGACTCAGTTGTAATGGGAAACCCACTCCTGCTATTCTGCCACAGCCTTTACGCAGTATCCATACAGGGTCTTAGGCAAGTGATGTAACACACATACCAGCAATAAATAAATAAATAAAAATGTAAACAATAAATAAATAATAGTTACTAAAATACGAAATACAAAAATGTTCACTAATTTGACGGGATATCAGAGCCAGGGACTGATGTTGAATCAGCCACTTGCGGCATCTTTGCCGGAACTTATACAGAGATAAGGTAAACCGAACTGGTGGTGGCAAATCTAACAATGGTAGAGCCACGCGGCAGCTTTTGCTGTCGCATGGATGGGCCGGCTCGAACCGGGGTAGTACCACAACCTCACAGAAAACCAGCATGAAGTAGAGGATTACCTCAGCGTTTTGCTTGGTGAGTGCAGGTGGCCGGAGGCCCTTTTTACTGGAAATGAGGCATTCCATCTTAGTCCTCACGGGTGACAACACATCTACATTTTGATTTGTAAGAGAGGATAGATATAGATGTCTATGGGCCGCAGTAACCACTTACCATCAGGTGGACTGTGTGCTCGCTTGTCACCCTTATACTATAAAAAAAAAATCGTTACAAATTTTAGCAGCGGCGAATTTAATACACCCCCTGGCTGCAGCAAGCCTAATACTGAGCAGTGCAAACTTTTTTGTTCAACAGCTATCTTATCGTATAAATATCTTGGAGACATACAGTGTATGCTTCTGCATAGCAAGCCAAGTTAAGATATGCAAGCATATCTTAACTTGGTACAATTGGACATATTTAAAATGCCATTACTGACTAAATAAGGTGAAATCCTATGCCTTTTCGGTTTATTAAAACAAAAACACAAGCATGCGTTCTGCACTCTCTGTACATTCTTTACAGTTTTTTTAAATAAGCAAGTACCATAAACAATATCACAATATTGAAGGTGACACAGTTTAGTAACTGTTGCAAAGCAGCAGTCTAATGTCACATTTTAGAAATTTGCAAATTTCATACAAATTATTAAAGAACCATAGCATTTGCCGATTTTTATCTGAACATGTTGCTCAAATTTTAAATTCTCATTCATGAGGAGACCTAAATTGCGAACACAACCCTCGTAAGGTATGACAGTGTCAAAGATCTTAACAGCAGGCTTCCGTTCATTAATCATTTTTACCTAGTGCTTTGTTCCAAGTGTAATGGTAACACTCTGAGGCATTGAATACCATGTCTCAAAGACCAATCCGAAATAGAATCTAGATCTTTGTTTAACTTGGAAATAGCAACAGCAACCTCCTCATCGATTGGCATTGTGTGAGCATATACTTGGCTGTCATCTGCATATAAGTGAATTTTCGAGTGAGTTATTGCATTTGTAACATTGGCTGTGTATATATTGCAAATAATGTGGGATATTACTTGGTGTATTGAACCCTGGATAACACCTTTATTAAGTGGAAGCGTGTTGGAGACCCTTAGTAGTCCTTGACTATCCAAATATTGCACTTTTTACGGAAGTAAGACTGAAACCAGGTGCAGGCCAAATCTGTGAAACCATAGTATTTTAATTTTGCCAATAGGACAGGTATATCAACGCAATCGAAGGCGCAGCTGAAATCTAGCAAGACCATAATTGTTCCTTTACCCTCATTCGACGAATATCATCAGTAATATTTAAGAGAGCTGTTACTGTACTGTGATTTTTTCGGAAATCAGATTGAATCACAGGTAGTACTTGATTTCGTTCTTGTATCTGTATCAAATCTTGTTCTTGATATCTGTATCAGTAGTATAGTATACATTAATCAAAATTTTGTTTAATCTACACAGAAATAGTTTGCTTGTTTGCTTAGGGAATATAATAGTATAGATTTTTTTTGTAACAGAAATATTAATTTCTAACTAACAAACTTCTGGTGTTCTACTGGATAAGTTATGAATAGTGTCTGTGCAGAAATTACTTCACTTAATTCCTCTCTCCCCCTCTTTTCTTTTCGAATTTCCAACCTTATTATTTTCAATAAACAATTCCCTCACTTTTAATTTGAAACTGGCACAGTGGTCAAAGGGCTGTTTGTCACAATTAAGAAAAAACAAATACGAATGTTTCATTTCGATTTGAAATTTTCGTCTACCTTTTTATACGAGCTAAATAATTTTTTCAATTATTGAACTATTGTGATTCATTGAAAAATGTTTTTTTGCCATTTGAAATTGTCTAAAACTGGACGAATCGTTTGATAGACTTCCAACAGTATTTAATTGATATAGGCCTGTGCTTTGCTGCAGAGGCAGAGCAGACATGGCAAAAGCTCTGTCCTGTCGAAAATGTTCCTTTGGAAGTTAACCAACAAAAACAGTGCGATATTCCGTTGGTACGAAGTGTGCAGAAAGATTTGTTTCATAATTTCCATAGTGCCCAAGATCAGGCACACCTTCTAGCTGTTTCGACTAAGGAATCTAGTCACTGGTTACATGCTTTACCATGAAGTAATCTCGGCAGGAAAGCTTGACCATTGCTGTAAGAATCCGACTAGGAGTGCCGATTGGTCAACCTCATCAGTGCCCCTGTGGTAGCGGCGTCGACGAGTTTAAGCTCCACGGACTTTCATGTAAGAAAAATGCTGGTAGGTTTTTCTGTCTCGGTTCTTTGAATGATTTCATCTCAAGAGCTTTTGTGTCTATAAATGTTCCCTCTGTTTTAGAGCTTTGTGAAATATTTAAAGACAATGGCAAGTAACCCGACGGTATGAGATTGGTCCCTTGGGAGAGAGGGAAAGCCCTAGTGTGGGATGCTACTTGCATAGATACGTATACCGGGGCCTTATCAGAGGCAGCTGAATTAGATACGTGACGCAAATATGAGTCTCTGAGATATGACTACAAATTTGTGCCGTTTGCTTTAGAATCTATCGGTTCGTGGAGTCCACGTTCAGTGAAGTTCCTAAAAGAACTGTATCCGTGACTGGTCTTCGCTTGGTGATACGAGAGCTGGTTGCTTTCATAATAACGCGTCGGCTCACTCAGCGCTCAAAAAGAGGGTCTTCCTCGAAAGCACGTCGGTTAAACTTTAGGGTCACCCTCCTTACAGCCCTGATTCAGCACCGTGTGACATCTTTTTGTACCTTAATATAACAAATCATCTGAAAGGGATATAGTTCTCACCGTCGTAATTTACGCTAGCAGCGTCCGAGCAGGTCCTACAAGTTGCCGCACGTAAGTCTAGCACTGAATGAAACGTGGAGGGGACGTGTACGAATTGAATTGCATGAATGCGATTGGAGAGCCAATCAACGCGTGCGAACCATACGCTCGAGCCAATCAGCGTGACTTATGCGCGATAACGGTCATCGCTAGACTTTCGTGCCGCTACTTATACAGAGGTACCTAAGACGTACTGGAAAAGTGTTTAGAAAACTGGTTCAGACACATAAAACTTTTTTAAAACCAGATCTTGCATTCACTTTATTTTGTCCAACTTTCATAATGACATCACACTACCTTATAGAAGGATCATTATTGGCTCATTATTATCTTAGGACTACATCGATCGTTCAAGTGTTTCACTTGAGTTACTGATAAAATTTGCATCGCGATGTCTAATAGAACGTTAAAATAATTGAACGCTAAGACTTGCCAATAAATGAAGGGTGGAACGAATAATTATACCTTATGTATTTTGCACGCCTCATAACGCAAAGCGTTATCAAGTAGTGCTCTCGACACGTCAAGGTCAAGCATTTTTGTGTTCTATCATAACCATATTCCACTTTTACGATAATATGAGTAGCCGTATATCAAGAAAACACTAATTAGTCTATCTTATATTTTCTAAAAAGAACATTTTATATTGCTAGTTTGAAGAAAAAAAAACCGGATTGAAAAAAATTTTCGCGTACGTTCGAATGTTGAGTTTGTATGTGGTCACGATAACTTCCGAAAATTTTGACGTATAGAGACCGGGTTTTTTATTAGCTTCAGAATTGCATCAATTGGTCCCCTATTTCATATCAATAGCCTAGTACGCGTAGTTTGTTAATAAAACGTACATTAAAATTTGTACGTGGTAGAGCCATGCTGCAGCTATATTAGTAGTATATTTGTAGCACGAATGGGTCGGCTCGACCGGGGAAGGACCACGCTCTCACAGAATACCAGCATAAAATGGCAGCTTGACACTGCTGTGTTTCGTATGGTGAGTGTAGAGAACAGAAGAAGAAAAGAGGCATTCCATCTTAGTCCTCACGTGGGACGCCACGTGAGGAATGCCTCTCGTCGTCACGCATCTGCATTTTGATTCTTTATTGAGGATAAATGTAGATGTCTATTGTCACAGCAACCGCTTACCATCAGGTGGACTGTGTGCTCGTTTATCACCCTATCCTTTTAAAAAAAAGTGATTTTTAACTTTTATGTATAAGTTTTATTGCTATTAAAATTTAAAGACGCTTTGTAAATTTAAATGACAAAGGACAAATGTACAATACAGCCTATATCAATTTTATACTTTGTTTGCAAGTATCAGTAATGTGTCCAGAGTGATGTATTGTCATTAAACCAGTCTCCGAGTACGTGGCGTGTGGAGTGTACTGCAGAAAACGGCGCTTGATATTGATGACATTACTATGCAAGTAAATGATACAATTTCTATTCTTGCCAGTTTTCGGGAAAATGTGGACGCTAGGATTAACAATGTTTGGTAGCGTGCAAAAAATCTACAAAGAAAAATGGATTCTAGAAAAGAAACTGCAAAATGAGCTACCATAACTACTCTGTACGGTCTTCATTTACGACAAATACGTCATCGACACATCGCTACGCTGGTTCTCCTGTTTAGAATCAAAAATAAGAAAATCATAAAATGATTTAGGTACTAAAAAAGTGATGCGGAGAATAATGAGGTATTGCTGTGTCAAGTCAGTTACTGTATTAATGAATAAACTTATCATAGAAATGTATCGTGCAATATAATTACAGTTTTATTTAACGTTATCGCTTAAGATAATTATATAAAATATTTTGTTATAGTATTGCAAAAATTACACGGGAAACATATTATATTTAATTAAAATAAATATTTCATAAGATTATTGAGCTATTACACTCTTTATGCTTAGTTTCAAAACTTTACGTTAAGCAATTTTTGTAGAAGTGATTACAGTGTTTCACTCTGATAATTTTGGCACGGAATGGAAAAATATGTTTTCTATGATGTAATTTTATGTAGGATTTAATATACATATTATAACAGGACATAATACAGAATAAAAATACGTTTCGATAAAATGGTGCTTATGCCATACGAAAATAATTTTAATATATGAATAACAACATTTTATTCACAAATCAATAAAATAAAGTTTAGCTTTTATATACTTTTAAATGTTTTATATATTTCCTAAAAAAAAAATAACATTATTTAAAAACCACCATTGCTGTCAACAGGCATACAGGCCTTTTAGAAATTTCAAGTTAAAATGGAAGAGTTGAGAGTTTGACGAACTTCATGTTCTCAAAACTCAAATGTCTTCGACATGCAGATTTCTCTGTAGTATGGCAAATGACATTTTTTTAGCATCGGCATCTATCTCAGTATAGATCTTGATAGGATAGAGTAGCTTACGTCCTTGTCCTGTAAGTCAGGGCGCTCACTTTAAAATGTAGTACACCAGCGAATTTGTGTTCTTGAATATGAAATCTCCAGCGCTTACATCGCTTTCAATTTTTAGCTCTGTTGTACTCTTGACATGTAAAAGTAAATTTGACGAGCACTAAAGCTAAACCCGTTACTCTCCATAACCCCTCACAGTGATGAGTGTTCCCCTTATAATGTGTGTTGAAAGGTTGTTACTCAGCTCTTAGTCTAACATGGTTCTTGTATTTCTTTTAAAAAAATACGTAACAGCATATATTTTACTTTATGGACTTTTTGTCTGAAATAAATTATTTTTATTTTCGTCCCTCTGGTGGGTACGAGCCTCTCAAACCACCAATCACACACACAAAACCCTCACAAAAAGAGAAGAATTTCGGAGTAGTGAAGTCTGTTGAACTCATATGCATGTTGGTGGACATCGCATGTGCGCTCGAAATGTTTTTTAATTATATAGACACTTTGGCATCTTCATGATGTCTTCTTTAACTCCGAGCACAAGATAAATCAGCTGAAACGTCGGGAATATAAAATAACTTAATTAAACGCGATAAAATCCGTAAAAGTAGTTTTATTCAATGTGTAGTGTTCGCGTAAATATAAGAAATCATTATGAAAGTTCCTGTCATGCCGGCAGGGATAATTTACGCGATTTGCTTGGTAGGACTAAGAAATTTAAAGAATACTCTTTTTCTTGAGCTGCTATGTCTCTCTTAATCTCTTATGATATATCTCAGGTCTTACTCTTACTTGGTCTAAAATAACAAAACATAATAGATCTAATAAAATATGAAATCAGTAGAACTTTCAATTCAATCATCAATTTATTCTCAGCGTACTATAATTTGATATATAAACTTGTTTCCAATATGGAATGTTGGCATTTGACTTGATAGTTGCTTGACCTTATATACCAGTATGACTAGTTTTGTAATCAATGAATGACCTTATCACGGTTTTCCTCTTCCTGATCAGAATAAAAAATGTCCATTTCACTTTTTACAAATTAAGGTATATACAGAACTATACCTACTCGTTTCAATTCCAAATGATTAATTAGATGTTTAGCCAATTTACGAATCAGAAGCATCCTTTGTATATTTTAGGAAACCACTACTGGATTGATTACTGAAAACCCATCAAAAACTTAAAAAAACACTAAGATCTTTTCGAGAGCGAGTTTCTGCCTTGCTTGAAATGGCTAAGCTAATTATAAGTCATCGTCTTTCCAGGGTAAGAGTCTCCGTGAACAGATGACATCTCTTCCATAAGTTTAAGTTTTTCCTTGCTTAGCGAAGAACTTAATCGCGGCATGAAACATAATTTTCTCCATAGTTGGTTTTCACTTCCCGATTGACTTGTTCATCCTGTGATATCTCAAAGGGTAATAAACCGATTTGGCTGAAAGGTGTTCATAATTGTATTGAGTTACCAAGTAGTGACAGTTAAAAAAATGCCCCATCACCTCTCTAACCTTCCATACTGCGAACTTTTTAAACATCCAGATAAATCACTGGAAGCAAAAAGGATTCTTCCAAGGACGCTGCTTCCAGTGGATCTGGGACTAGGATCAAAGTTACTGCAATGTTTTTTGAGGACTAATACGGGCTATTATATTTAATTATTATTTCTTGATAATTTTACAATTGCAGAGCGATTCACACAAATGAAGATATCCGGTGGTCACTATGTAACAGTAATTGAAGACAAGCGCTCATCAAAAATAATCGCTGCCGCCACACTCACAGTGGAACAGAAGTTTATCCACAATTGTTCCTTGGTATGATTTAAAACTTCTTAAGTAATTAATTTTTTTTATTTTTATACTTGTGTTTAGTATGGTAGCAGCAATACGAGAAAGTAACATAACAAAATAATTATATAAAATATGAATAACAGTTGCATTTATTTAGAGCCGAACGTACAAATAATTGTCACTAACAGCAGTACCGTATTAGTGACAATCATCTATGTCTCTCGACTCCTTGCTTCCTCATGTGGCCCCTCTATCTAATTTGGGGTCGCCCTACATTATGCATTGGGGCTGCCACTTAATTTCCTTTCTCCCAAACTGTTTGTCGGTTACACGAATATAACATACTTTCAACGTCGTCTTTGTCGTCATCGTCATAGGTCGTACGTCTTTATTAAATTGCGCAAAGAGCCATGTATTTCTTGAAAGAAATACTTGCCACTTAGGGTAGACCGGGTTGGCCTGGTGGTAGCTTCTTTATTTAGTTTCAGCAGTAATAGTATAGTAATTTTCTTACGGCAGAGAATACCAAAAGTCATTAAGTGACCCATTGTAAGACCTTAGGTTAATACAATAAAGAATAAATAAATAAATAACATTAAAATTATTGAATATTTTATCATAGAATGATGATGTCCTCTGGACTCGTGCTCTATTTCCACCACGGCAACTATATATTAAACATACCTTCCGTTAACGGCGCAAGTCATATTATAGCCCCGCAAATTTACGCCCAAACATAACAGTGCTCCCTAAGATCCTAATACGCCAAAGACGACATCGACATCCCTATTAAAATTAAATAAATAAATGCAGCCCAGGAAATTATTTATTTTTACTTTTATTAATTTGGATTATCCAGACATATTCAAATAGAAGTTGTGGTTTATGATTTCTTAGGCTTTGTCATTTTATAGTCACATCATAGATATAGATTACTGTTGTGTCCTGTTATAAAATTTAAAACAAATGGGAATTTTTTTTTTCAGCGTGGCCGTTTAGAAGACGTAGTTGTTAATGATACTTACAGAGGAAAACAACTGGGAAAGTTGTAAGTACCTTGATTTAAATTAATGCAGTGCTTTTTACTGGGGCTGTCCATACCAGACGGTTACTGAACAGAAAAAAAATCGACACGAGGTTGTTAGTTATTTAATTTAAATTTAATTTCTGTATCTCACTATAGAAATTAAATATAAATTGGAGGAAGAAAATACTTTTTAATGTTTTGTCATAAAATGTCAACGTCAATGCACATGGTGAACAGTTTAATAAAATATACTTTATGCCAAACTAGGAAAAAAAAATACTTTAATATTTTACTTGACCACCCTAGTAGTGCTTTGTTTTTTTACACAATAATAATAACTATGCAATATATACAAATTAACATGACGTGCATACACTAACATGTGTGGAATTATCTCGCTAGCCGAAGCTAAGCTAGGAACTATAACCTTCTGTAGCTTATACAGCTTAACGGTCCTTTAAGACAAGGTGGTGACAGATTTGACACATCATCATCTACTGCGCGTAAGTCACAATACTGTGCTATTCATTATACATTATACGAGTTACGCACACTATTCCGTTTGTTAACGTGTATTCAAGGATCTATCATAGTTGGACGGAAAGAGTTTTTGTAAGAAATCGTCGATCGCCGACCATTTTAGCTGACCCCTGCAGCGAGACTACTTCTGTAAACTACAGCAAACTTTTGGGAGCCTAGTACTTTGAGTTTGATTTAAAACTAAGCATGCCACTCAAGCGAACGCCGCCTCCCGCCTCACCGCCAGCGGAAAAAAACAAGAATAAGAATGTGACCTGTACACCTATAAATATTTGCCCCAGCCTATCTACTGAAAAGCCTTCTTCAGAGGGTGATAATGTCACCCTAAGGAAAAAAGGTGTTATTGATTCTTCTAGTATGGAACTATTTATGGAGGAAATCAGGGAAATTAGAGAAATTATAGTTAAGTATAACATTGTAAAACATCAGAGTACATTGACTTCTGTACAATCCTCTGTGAATGAAATACTATCCCAATATAAAGATATTAAAGAATCAATCGAGATGATATCTAAGCAATACGATAGTATGAAAGTCAAATTTGATTCCCTCGAAAAGCAAAGAAAGGAAGACCGACTTTACATCGTTGAACTTGAAGGAAGAATAAGCTCTCTGGAGTCAACTATTGTGGCATCAAAGCTTGAGCTTAGAAACATCCCTGTGGGACCCAGTGAATCCAAAGAAAGTCTGTGCGACATTGTTTTAAAAACTGCTAAGGCCCTAGAAGTGCCTCTTCAACAGCCAGAAATAAAAGACGTGTTCCGCATTAAAAACAAAACTGGTAACGGAAATATTATCGTCGACCTTGCAACTACCATAAAGAAAGAAAATTTCTTGAAAAAAGCGCGCAAATTTAATAAAAAAAATAGCTCAAATAAATTAAACACAACACATCTCGCACTGGATGGGCCACAGAAGCCGATATTTATTTCTGAACATTTAACGCAGAAAGCTAGGCGCCTCAACTACTTAGCCAGAACTTTTGCGCAGGAAAATGTATATAAGTTCTGCTGGACTTCATACGGACGTACATATCTACGTCAAGATGAGGGCAAACCACATATCAGAGTGGACTCTGAGTCAGATTTAGCTAAGCTGCGAGGCCAGAAATGACTGTATGAGATCTCCGGTAGAATTTTGGTTACTACTTACATTGATTTTATTTATTATCAAATATTTATTGATTATTTCTTTAATTATATATATAACATTGTATATATTTTACTAAACGGTACGACATACATTCTCATTACTATTTTAACCGTACTGTATATTTTTACAATACATGGTTTTTCTCGAACAATTTGTGGGATGGCTCTCAATAGCTATTATTTAAATCAGAACTATAGATGTGACAATGAATTTTTCCTCTTTAAAAATGCCTGAATTACAGAATCAAATTCTATCTGATATTGATAATATTAGGGTGGCTTCATCTTTTGTGTGTGATGTTTTAAAATGCAATGATATTGTCAGGAAATCCTGTAATTCTTTGAATATCATTGCACAAAATATACGTAGCGTCTATAAAAACCTGGATGGCTTTATGGCATATATATCACAACTTTCATTTGAACCAGATATTATAATACTAACAGAATGTCGCCTTGATGTTAATAAGCCTATTCCTCGGCTTCCAGGTTACAAATGTCATTTCTCAAAAAATGTTCAATCCAAAATGATGGTATAACAGTTTATTCTAAACACTCAATTGATTGTATAATAACAGAACCTGATTCAAATGGTGGTAACTATCTTTTGATTAAAATAAATCCAGATATAGTAATATTAGCGGTATATAGATCACCCTCCTATTATTATATTGACAACTTTTTAGATTCTGTAGAAAAAATTATTCGTCCCTTAAAATCTAGTAACATATTTATTATGGGCGATATCAATATAAATATTATTCAAGGCAATAAAGACAAAGACTGTGAGCCTTATTTAAATTTAACTGCAGGATTAGGTCTTTTACCAGGTCATACCTATCCCACCCGTATCAATAATTGTTTAGACCATGTTATGGTGAAAACAGTATTAAACACTCAAATAATGGTACTCGATAGTGTAATCACTGATCACTCCTTAATCTTAACGAATGTTTCTTTGAACTCCAAACGCAAGCCTAATAATATTTTCATTGATAAAATAAATCTTGATGATGCCATCAAATCTATAGAGTCTGCTGATTTTTCTTTTATATCTTCAACTTCAAATGCAGACACGGCTGCCGAAAAATTTGTTGATTTACTAGCCTCTGCCATAAAGAAAAATACTGTTAAAATTAAGATTCCTAGAGCGAAACGAACGCTTAAGGCCTGGATGACGCCTGGACTGATAAGGTGTATCCGTCACCGCGATAAACTTCACCAAAAACTGAAAAAGAACCCTGACAATGAAATACTTGAAATTTCTTATAAGCGTTATAGGAATTACTGCAATTTCTTGTTAAGTAAGCTCAAGCGTCAATATGAAAAAAGTCTTTTGGCAAATGCAAAAAACAGTAAAGAAACTTGGTCTGCAATTAAAGCCATCTCCGGGTGTGATACTAAAAATAATTACGCTGAAAATTTGATCATTAAAAATCCTACAGATTCAGTGGAGAGAGCTAATTACTATTTTTCAACTTTAGGTAGAAAATTAGCTGATAAAATTCTAGCAAACGGTGTTAAACCTGCTAATGTTAATACTATGCCCTGGTCGCTTAATTCATTTGTGCTCGATTCTCCTGACGAGTTAGAAGTTGAAACAATATTGATGGGTCTTAGAAATGATTGTGCTATTGGTTGGGATTCCATTCCTGCTGTCCTCCTTAAAATGACCAAGGATAAAATACTTCTGCCACTCACAACCCTTTTTAAAATCTGTTTTGAACAAGGATGCTTTCCAAAAGTTTTTAAAAGATCTCTCATAACTCCTGTTTACAAGAATGGGGCTCGGGACGTTGTTGAAAATTACAGGCCGATCTCTGTGCTACCTGCTCTTTCAAAAATCTTAGAAAGGATGCTTAATAATCGTTTGGTTAAATTTCTAAACAAATATAATATCTTATCTAATATGCAGTTCGGATTCAGAGCGGGTGTTAGTACAGAAGATGCTGTCCGTAACTTGACCGAATTTGTAACAAATAAACTGGACCATAAACAGAAGTGTGTAGGGATTTTCCTAGATTTAGCCAAAGCTTTCGACACCGTTTCGATACCAATTCTTGTAAACAAACTAGAAAAAATTGGAATAAGAGATTCTGCCCTTTCTATTTTTAAGGATTTTCTATATGACCGTGTGCAGAGTAAAAATAAAAAAAGTTATTAGCTCAGATGCCTGTGTCACGTTTGGAGTCCCTCAGGGCAGTATCCTGGGACCAAATCTCTTCCTGGTTTATATTAACGACCTGTGCTCAATGACACTAAGTCAAGGCAAGCTATTTACTTATGCTGATGATACAGCCTTAATTTTCTACGGAGAGATTTGGCCTGAGGTCCAGGAGTTTGCGATGAGGGGTCTTCAAACTGTGGCAAATTGGCTTGAGGAGAATCTACTGACTCTTAATATATCTAAGTCCACCTATATGCAGTTCCATATAACCAACACCCAAACTGTTAACGATATACAACTAACAGTACACTCTTGTGGTTCACAGTCAACAGATACTTGCCTTTGCCCTAAAATGATGAAATCCAAATCAATTAAATATCTCGGAGTAATTATAGACGAGAAACTAAGCTGGCTCCCACACATAGACCTTATTTCATCGCGCACTAGGATACTTATTTGGACATTTAAAAGGCTAAGGCACATCGCTGACTTTAATTTATTAAGAACTGTATACTACGCCTTAGCACAATCAATTATAGGTTATTGTATAGTTGCCTGGGGTGGAGCATGCAAAACATTTATGATAAAATTAGAAAGAGCTCAAAGATGTCTCCTAAAAATTATGACTTTTAAACCGTTCAGGTATCCTACAAATCTGCTTTACCAAGAATGCAAACTGTTGACTGTCAGGCAATTGTACATCCAACAGTTGATCTTAATGAAACATGCTCTAACTCCTTATGACCCTGAGATCTGTCGTAATAAACGCAGAATACCGGATGTACTGGTTATTGGCAGATGTCCAACTGCTTTTTCTAGGCGACAAAGTTTATATCTATCCTCAGTGCTTTATAATAAGTTAAATAGAAATCTAAATTTTTATCCTCTTTCCAGACATGAATGTAAAGTTAAAGTTCGAGATTGGTTATTGTCCCTTGATTATAGTAAAACAGAAAATATAATTTGTAAAAATGTGTGTAAGTAATGTATGTCGTATAATAAAAGTATAATAAAATTATAAAATTTTAAAATTATGAAATTAAAAATAGCAATCTTTGTTTAAAGCATATATTTATTCATTATAGGTTATAATGAATAAAATATATATTCTGTATGAAATTATATAATAATATATTCTATATATACATATATGTGTGTATATGTATATATGTATGTATGTATATATATATATATATATATATGTATATGTATATGTATGTCTATATAATAATGAAATTATATAATAATATATTCTATATATACATATATGTGTGTGTATGTATATGTATATATGTATGTATGTATATATGTATGTCTATGAGTATGTGTACGTATATATATTACAAATTGCAAACTAATTTTAATATACCTACGATTATATAAAATATAATAGCGACTAAAGAGTCGCATTAAGTTCTAGTTTATGTTTCGTTGTAAATAAATACATTCAAATAGCTAAACAGTTACTTAAAAATGTTAAGCTTAGTTACTTAATTAATTCTTAAGATATATATAATTCTTAAGATACTGTTGTCACACCACTGGGAGAGGCCGCTGATCCCTAAGATACAGACTTGTCTAGTTTGGGGATCAGAGTCTTCACTTTATTATTGTACTTTTATTTAAATAAATGATTATTATTATTATTATTATATTATTCGTCATATACGGAGTCGTGAACATTTTATATACGTCCCACTGCTGGGCAAAGGCCTGTTCTCATTTCTGAGAGTTTCGGAGAGTAGGCGAACTTAAATATATTTTTTCTTATTTCTCGTACATGCAGGTTTTCTCACGATGTTATGCTTCATCGCCAAGCACATGGTACTACACCTCGGTTTTTCGCATACTGTGAAATACAGAATACAGCGAGCGCTTAGTCCCTGAGCTACCACGGCTCTTATAATTAATAATATCTAGATAACACGACGACTACAATGATTTTTCTTAAAACAATGATAAACGTGATATTTTATCTTTGTTTGTCACTATAGTTGTGTTTTTAAATCTACTTTGCAAGCAATGGTTTGGACAGCCCTGTTTTGTCTATAGCACATCTATAAATAAACTTATTAATATTATTATTTTAATTACAGAATAGTTGTAACTGTATCACTACTGGCTCAAGAGTTAGGCTGCTATAAAATGTCTTTGGACTGCAAGGACAAACTGATAAAGTTTTACGAGAGTCTTGGATATAAACTTGAGCCTGGCAACTCCAATGCAATGAACATGAGGTTTGTGTACTTATTAAGTAGCCATCAATAAAATTTATTTGATATGTTAAATAGCATCTTATAGTGTTGGGAAAGAACCTTGAAATATTTGACTATTATCGAATATTTAAACTTTTAGCCATGTTGCAGTTATATTATGGTTGTAGCACGTATGGGTCGGCTCGACAGCACGTTCTAGGTTTATAATGACGATGATGATAACCAATTACTTAATAACTTAAATTTAAAACCCCCCGAAACAGAAAGGGCTGATGATATTCAAACGGCTGAACAGTTTTTATTGAAACATAGCTAAGAACACTAGATTAAAAAAGTTTAAGAGCTATGATGCCACAGACAGACACACATACACACTACATACAAAATGTAAAACCCTTTTTTAACCCCCGACAAAAACAGAGGGGGGTTAAAAATAAAAGGAACCAATCAATCAAGTTTGGGCATTTATTTATAATGATCAAATTATTAAAATTTTACACTATAATTTAGTATGAATGTTTGAAAATGTTTATCTTTATTAAGTGACTAGCTGTTCCCCGCGACTTCGCCCGCGTGTTTTTGGGGTTTTAATTTTTTTGCATGGAATCCTAATTCTTTTTCTAAAATTACTTTAGCCCAAGTTATAATGATAACATGAGCTATCTACCAATGCAAGGCCCGTCAAAATCGGCCAGCCGTTTCGGAGATTAGCCGGAACAAACAGACAGACAGACAAAAATTTTAAAAATTGTATTTTTGTTATTAGTACCGTATATACTTTCATATGCATTTAGTAAAAAGTTGTAATTTTGACATTACAAACAGACACTTCAATTTTATTTATTTGTATAGATGTATAGATTATTGTCTTACAAAATTCCGGTGTGCGTGTGCTTGTAATTCTTCTCCTAAATGGCTTGAACAGTTTTAATAACATTTTAATGGAGTACTTATGAAGTCATCTGGATAGTGGTTAGCTATAGTTGGACCCGGTAGGTGATTCTGTTGTCGAGATCCAGAAATCACCCGTGTGAAGCCGGGCGGATCGCTAGTCTTTATATAGATATAGAACACTGCGTACATTTCAAGTGACGCCAAAACATACTCAACTAATTGTATGAGAACACGCACTCACACATGCACTTAACAGTTGCATTTAGTTTTTGGGGAAAATAACAGTAGTATATTGTTGGTAGCACGGCGAACAATTCGCGAATTGAAATCCGCTATTCGCCTACTGCCGTGAACTATATTACTCAGCAATGTCTCCTCTATATTACTCGCGAAGTAGATCGAGGCGAATAGTGTAGAGAGGTACTTTGATTCTCTTCGTGCAACTTCGCATCGCCTCGGGCGACTTCCGATCGCTGTGGGTTTTTTTGCGCCAGTCATAGAACTTCGCAAAGTACCCCGAAGTTACACGAAGCGTCTCACTACACTACTCGGCTTACGCCAGTTATATTTTTTATATATATAAATAGCTTGCTACATAATTATTTATTTAGGTAACGCATTGACGTCGTACTGTTCATACAATTAGATACCTATAGCAACTGCCTCTTGAACGTTATTCATGTTAAGGGTGCGGGAGACTCGAGACGACTGATCTCTTCGCGAAGTAGCACGAGTGTGTAGTCACGTTCTTCGGAACGCGATCGACTTCGACGAGAACTTCGACAAAGTTACTTCGCGAGTAGTGTAGAGGAGGCACGACATTTTAGGCGTAACTGGTTAAAGAAGGTTATTGCGTATTTTACTAATAACAAACATTCATTTCAGATTCGAAGAAGATCCCTCCTGACAATTAGCCGCTAGGGCATCCGACCTGCGTTCTAAACTGTAAGTTACAACCGTCTGCCAAGCGGTCTTCACAGCACCATCGACGCTCCGTAGTTACCATAATTTTTCATCGGCACGGGAAATGCAAAAAGTATCCCCATTATTTGGAATGTGTTTTCCTTGTGTTCAATTAAAATCAAAATAAAAAAATAAAAAACCTCAGATTGAGTATACTCACTTCCAATGTACCAAATTTAATGAATTTTAATAAAGCTTTGTTCAATAGTTATGTTTGATGTGATTTCTGCTTGGTTGTTATGTAATTGCAGTTGCAGGGTCAATTTTTCTATCCATCAGTAGGGATGTTCATTGGAAGATATTGGAAGCTTAAATGATAAGTTACTTCATCTTAAGTTGATTGATGAACACCAATATTGATGGGGTGTTAAATTGATTGGATGTCTTAGCACATAATAATTGTTTCTGAGATGTCTGAGATTTGGGCTTCTTTACGCTTATGCCTTATCATCGAACAGATGTAACCATGTGTCTCAACATTGGCTTTAACAATCCCTTAAGCGCATATGTATACATTTTTTGAGCTTATGATTTATAACAATGAAGTTAAATTATGGTTACGTTACCATCGCTTATCATGTAATTATGTTGCAGACATTGTTTTGTTTAGTTAATATAGCTTTTAATTTATGCAATGTTAACATCTGTACTTAATTATGTTAAATAACAAAAAATGTTGTTACTAACATTCATAGTATTTTTCTATTAAACTTTTTTGCTTTATTTTTTTTTTGTTTCATTTCATCTCCTACAACATATGAACACAGTTTGGACCTTACAGTTGTGAAACGTCTTTGATGTCGGGCGATGCCGCCGCCCCCGTAATTATTTACGCGTATGCTAGGGGCTGTCACGAAAATGGAAATAAAATAATTTTGGATACTTTATCTTTTGTTAACATTATATATTTATCAATATTACTACAAAAAAAAAAAACACATTTACAAGCGTTGCACTGCCAAACATTTTCGTGACACTTTCTTTTTATAGATCTTTTCAGATTTTCGATTACTATGTAGTGTATTTGCATTCGAATAAACAATTTTATCAAAAATAAAATAAGGAAAACATAAGCATGACCGTTATTTGAATTCAATTATACTTAGTAACTCATATAACTAACAGTAATTCACCATTATAGATATTATATTCTTCGAAAACGGCACTTAAAATTAGTTAAGTACCATAAAACACGCTTGTGCAAACTGCAGGTATTGTCTATCAGACTCAGCCCCCTGCCCCGCAGTGCCCCTACCGTTGCTCTGCTCAAATACATTAGTTTCTCAACTGTAAGGTGGATAATGGAAAACTTCGTAAGACTAGATTATAACATTTTCCAAATGTTTGTATTTAGGATTAATTGTTTACAGAAACTAAACACCAAAAATAATAATATAAGCTAGGCAATAATCATTTGAGAAGACTCCACAATGAATGTTAGGTACTAATTTTACTGGAAACGAGGCATTCCTTATCAGGTGGACTGTGTTCCCGTTTGTCACCCTTATCCTATTAAAAAAAACATTGATTTTAAAGTCACACTGAAACAAAATATGTTCCGGTGCTTTTATAAATAGCTATGGTTACGCCAAACCGAGGTAAGTCCAATATTTTAACTTTTATTTAATAATATTAATAAATCTTTATTTCGGATAGCAAATGAGATCCATATCAGAGATATTAGAAAAATCACAAAATATTAATAATAATAGAGCTAGGTGGACGGAGGAAGTAAAATGACACACACGCACCCACCCATGCACGCACGCACGCACGCATTCACACACGTACGCAAGCGCGCGCACACATACACACACACATTATATAATTATTATTTGATATAATATTATTTACAAAGGTGAAAAATAATAAACGTTAAAAGTTTGGATTTTTTTTGCAACTACACATTCAGGTTATCGTCATATACATAAATAAAACTGCTTGGTTTTTTCTTTTTCATCTTTATTTACAGAAGTGTAAACATGCGTAGTTAGCGCTTAGAATAAGCATATCGCTTCCAATTTCAAAACATTTATACCAATAACATATAATGTTACTGGAAAAACTATGCGCGCTTCTGGACAAATGTAAAATTATTGATTAAAATTCGTAACTAAATTTTTCCAGTACCAACATTTTGCAACATGTAGAACACCACATATGTTTACTTACAATAGAAATATCCTGTATATTGTATGCGCGAAATAAAGGAAAAGAAGTAGTCATGGCATAATCATTAAACTTAATAAATTTTTAATCCTAGAGATATTATGATATTCTTTATGTAAGGATATAGTTTGAAATTACTTTGTGAGGGTAGTCGTTTTATAAATTATACAAAAGCGGTCTACAATATTGAGAAATGTTACAAATGTACGAAATTTACCAAAATACCTTTACGTTTGATTTTGGGACTTCTGTCGGGTCTAGTATATTAACGAAGGGCAATGAAAATGGTGAAAAATAATTTTAACCATTCCAACCATTTGCGCGATGCCTTAGGATCTTCTTCTTCTTTTAAATTATGGCTTCTCTTGATAGAATTTTGCCAGTGTCATGTTAGTCAAGGGAATGCCTTGGGATGTGTCTAATATTTACAAATATCTACTAAAATGACAAATATATATTAAATCTACTTTCGCGTTGATTGTAAAATTAAAACACAATACCCACATTCTGAAGTAACAGAATTATTTAAAAAAATGTGAATTATGTAGTGTATGTTAAATTATTATATTACTCTTTCTTTTTGAAGTCTGTTAAGAATATTAATTTCAAATACCTAACGTATGTAATAACACCACATAAATTACTACGAAAAGTGATGTTTTACAAATGTTTATGAATATTTCTTCAAAGTATATGCTTTTGTCTTGCAAACTTGTAAATCAAACCAATGATTATGTAGTTTTTTTTTCAGGCACTCTAAAATGTGAAATCGAAATAAAAAAAAATTAAAGTGTAAGCAACATAACTGTGAGTTTGCCCTTAGTTTCAACTACGTTGATGTCGCTACGTACTTTAAAAATAACGATTGTGATGTGTTTAATTACTTGGCTATATTTCACTTATACCGAAGTCAGCTTTAATTATGAAATGATTCTTAAATAATCAAGTTATTTTATTAGAATTAGGCTTTGTAGAAAAATGTATAAGTACTTGCAACTATTTTATAGAAATACAAAAGAAATTTATACTTGCAACTAATAAGTATAAAAATATACAAATCCGATTATCCATAAGACATACTACTTTTCACCATGTAACCCTTAATATCTACTTTTCTGCCGAGACATTTGGGTTAATACTAACTCTTTCCTATATAAAAAAGTACTCTGTGACTAACCCGTTCCAATGTTTGCCACCAAGCAGTGCAACCACTGCTGTGAAGATTTAAAGGATGACAGAGACATTTGGGTTAATACTAACTCTTTCCTATATAAAAAAGTACTCTGTGACTAACCCGTTCCAATGTTTGCCACCAAGCAGTGCAACCACTGCTGTGAAGATTTAAAGGATGACAGAGACAGTATTAATTACTGGCTATGTGATATCATTTTAGCTCTTAAGGCTGAGATCGCATTTGCGGCTTTCTTATTTTGAAGTTAAAGTGTCAATGAAGTGCAATAGCCACGTAGGGTTTATTCATAAAATACGTCACCCAAAATTTCGCCTTTATGAACCTTTCCGCCCCTCCCCCTATTTTCTACGATTCTCAAAACAAAAATGTCTTTCTATCGTAACGAAAAATACCAAGATGAGAAAAAAAAATGATAAAATCAATGAACTGCGAATTTTTCCTTGGATGTAACAAGGCAACCCTCCCCTTATCACATAAGCGATAACCCTCACTCCTCCGTTTGCGAACGTATTTTATGAATGGCTCCTTATTGGTACGAGTACTCGTATAAAGTGGGATGTAAGGTCGTTGGATATTTAAAAAAACGGTAAAAAACATGCGTGAGTGTCGTGGAACACTCAGTTGGAACAAAGATCCTTTCGCAGTATATTATTATTTATTGATTTAACAAATACAAATAAATTAATTACTAGCGTCTATTAAAATGAAATGTCATTTAAAATAATATTTATTTCACGTAAGATAAGAAAAAGTGCGGGGGAGATGGATATTATTCTATCTCGCTCGCACTATAGAAGGGAGGTCATGACGGAAAAATCATACAGTTTTTCTTGCCTAGCCACCATCCGTCAAATTCGTACCGTGCGGTTAAGGAACATCGTTCCAATAAATGCATAGATTCGGACTTCCGAACGCATCAAATCCAAGTAAAATTAAGGACCTATCTCACACGTACAGTAGTTTTTCCGGTCGAAAATTTGCGAGCAAAACGGGTTTCCGAATACCGATATGCCGAAACGCAATTCCAAATGTATGTGGTCGGCCTTAACATAGCTTTCTGGCACCTGCTCTTCATGCGTCTCCTTACCTTTTAGGTGTTTTTTATTTTTCAATCGTACTTCATATTTCAATAAAAGCAATAAGTTATTTTTACCTAACAATGCGCAAAAATAGCTGAAACGGAAACGTATAAGTTATATATAGTACTCTCCATAATTTGAAGTTAATATTACTAATAGTAGGATTGAAAACTTCTATATTTTAACAAGATAAAACAAATAATATGAAATAAGTTATACGAGTACCTTAAATTTAACTAGATTTAAAGGTAACAAGTAAGCCTGCAGTACCGTAAAAAAATTTTACTATTCTATTACAGCCTATAACGGCTAAACGTAGATCTTCCCCCATAAATTGCCTCATAGGGGGATTTGCCATAGTTGCCACGCTTGGCAGGCGGGTTGAAAACCGCAATTTTTATAATTTTGAGTAGTTATCAGGAAGATGCTCAGATCAAGATCTCACAGAGTACCAGCGTCAAATAGCAGCTTAACACTGCTGTGTTTCGTATGGTGAGTGTAGAGAACCGGAGACCCTTTTTACTGGAAACGAGGCATTCCATTTTAGTCCTCAGGGGTTGCAACGCATCTGCATTTTGATTCGCAAACGAGGATAGATGTAGATGTCTATGGGCCACAGCAACCACTTACCATCAGGTGGACTGTGTGCTCGTTTGTCACCCTATCCTATAGCAACATGTAGTAAAGAGATTTAATGGACTATTTTATTTTTTGTAAATTTATATTATACCTACCTATTTCCTGCTTTATCCTAAATTATTATTAATAATATATTATTAAATAAATAATAAGTATTATTTTGGTGTTATAGGGTAGTAAGGCGCAATAGCACTAAGTGTTTATGGGAATACACGAACTGACATCGTCCAAACACGGTGTTCCCTGTGGTGTTGAGTGTAAATTAATGCAAGAGAATTATTACGACCAAATGTTGTAGAAAATGCATTCTAAATCTTTTCAATGCTTTGAACTTATAAATATTTAAATATGTTTAAATCATTGTAATTTTTTATTCAATATTTTGAACCAAAACAATTTAAAACTATATAATATAAAAGCGTATAATGGTTATATGCGGTATAAAAAATAAAATAAGGAAAATGTATATAATTATTAATCATATTTATATTTAAGTGAAGTAAGGAAAATTTGTATTTATTTAACATGAACATATTTTTACATCAGCCAACACTTAAATTTTACTACTTTCTCCATTTTTATTTGGTTTAGGCCAAGTTAAAATGGAGAAAGTAGCAAGTACAGAAATGTGTTTTAAATTAATAAATAATCAATATTTCCCAAAATCAGAAAAGTCTAATTTAAATTTGAAGACTTGCGATGGCGAATAGCGCTATGTGTAGGGTTTTGGTAACGTCTGTCCGGCGTTGTAGTATAAAATGAGTCTTATAATAAATGCCAACTTTCGCATACTTGGACCTTATGTCCCGCATTGAAATATGAAAAGGTCCTGATGTATCTATACAACATGTAACAAAAACACTGTGGTTCCCGTTAGGTACGTTATCAGGATCAGTATTCAAACCTATAGACATTTTTTTTTTAAAACTCGACCATATTCTTTTTTAATTTTATTTTAATTTTTTTTTAATTTTATGTCGTTTTATTACCTCTTACTGACACTAGCCGATGCTAAAGCTAAGTAAAGCGGGGTCTTTGACAATCTTCTTACTCCCCAGACAATGCAGAGGTAATAAAACCACATACAATTTGCATACAATTTTTTTTAAATAAGATATAAAAATTATTGTTCGAGTTTTAAAAAAAAAAAGTTATTTCTATACGATTGAATAATGATCCTGATAACGTACTTAACGGGAACCACAGGGTTTTTGTTACATATTGTATAATACATACTTAGGAATGTTATTTCTATTACGACAGTACTGGTGAGTGGCAGTGCGTGCGTCCGCGTCCATAAATTAACAGTTAATTTTTTTTAAACAATACAGACTAGTAACAAAAAACAGCACTATTACAAAAAATAAATCACATGTGTTAATCATTTTCATTGACAATAGAATTTCTTTTCCAAACAAGGGTAGATACTTTCTATTTATGTCATTGTGTTTGGTTTAAGACCACCAACAATTAAAACCTTATAGTCATATGTACAGGTTGTGTTTCGTATTCAGATTAATACAAAAATCATAAATAAGAATTATATATTTATTGAATTTTATTTCAAATAGCATTCCGAAATTAGTAGTTGTATGTACAAAAAAATGTGTATGTTAGTCAAAAATTAACAGAATAGCCTTTATATCTCGTAGCCGGCCACTGGTCCCGTCAGTTTCAGCTCTAGTTAATGACAGACGCCAGATATCCAAAAAAAAAAAAATTAATTTTCAATATGTAATCCGGTGAGGTCCCTTTTTTAATTTTGTCTCCACATTAGGATTTTCTCTTGTATTGTAAGGACAGTTTACATACACAAATGTCACAAGGACAAACATCCAGACCCGGAACAATAATGTGTAGACCATACAAAAACTTGTTCTGTGCGGTATCCGAACCCGCGTTCCTTAGCGCTGCAAGTCATTGCTAAGCCACGGAGCCGTTAAAAGAATTATCACTGCTCATCACGTGATAAATGAGCATATAAAATTGTAATTAATTACTGAAAGAACATTGTATTTATCTGTTGAGCTATTCAAAATATTAAAGAATTTCACGCAGTTATTGGTGAATGCATTAAAACCGCTATAAAAAAAAGAAGAATTAGATTTACTGGCTTAATATTACTTTGACAGTTTTATACTGATATTCCAGACTCCCGAGCTATCACAGTCCTATTGCGTAAAAAATACTGAAATTGAATGCATTCATGAAGTTATTCGACCTATTTTCTGCGTTCGCTTTCATTTTTCAATATTTGGACAAAACTTATTAATTATGATGAATTACTTTAACTACCAAATAGTAAAAACAGTTTAGGATTTATTTTTTGTCCATAAAACATTTTCATGTCTCAATGTAAGGCCACTTAACTTATAATGAAAAGGCGACAACGGGAGCGGACTAAGTTTTAAATATTAATGGAGCAAAATAGAGGTAAGTTTTGGTCAGTTAATATTTTTCCACATTTAAATTGTAAATCGTCACGATGTTTTATTTTAAACTCTTAATTTTAAGTTAAGCAAAATTGGCCGTATACAAATTTTAAACACTTATATTAAAAAAAAAAAATATTTTACTATTTTTATTATCTCTAATGGAAAACGATTCGCCAGTTCGTAACACCGTAATAGAAATTGAAAGAGTTACACGTCTTCGGCGCTCCCGATTTTATTTTTAATACAAATTGATATAATTTTTAACATTCATCTCCTGAAAAATTAGAGCCGTGAAGCTAACAAGTTCCTACTGTTCACCGATAACTTGGTCACTAGAACGGTGGCGGCGGCGAGTTAATTTTAGATCCCAACTTCATTGGACCTTGACCTCGCGCACTTCGCCTTGCCTCCATTTCTCTTTGCCTCTGCAGTTTTCTTTCTTCGCGCTTTCTCCGCATTTCATCCATCTTCGACGCGTTATTTTCTATTAGAATATTATAAGTATGTATTTAACATTTTTTATTAAACAAAAGTTAATTCTTATAAACTAATTTTGTTGGTGCATAAGTAATGATGGTTATCGTTTTTTGTAATTATCTTATTTATTTATTTAATGTTATATAACTTATTCGATTTAATAATAACCTTCCTGTGGTCTACGTACGCAGAGAAATTCGAACATTTTGGGTACTTTGAATAAAATCAAGCTGCATAAACTTTGCTACCCTTTTGAAAATTAAAGGAAACATTTACAAGTCAATTACAAGACCTTTCTGATCTATGAAATCGAAACGTGGGTAGTAATAAAAACTCTCTTGGGACTCGTCTCAAGAAGGGAAATCCATTAGGAAGAAGAATAAACGGCCCAATCAATGTAGGGGTCGGGTAAAATCTAACAAAATCTAATAATTTTTTAAATTAATCTCTGTATATAATATAATCTTGGTTGTTGAAGGCGCTCTAATTAATGTATCTGCAGCAAAAGCTTCCAGTACAGAAACAACTTTCTGACGCACATGTCTAATAACTTAAATGTGACGATTTTTCATTTTGTGTGTTCGTATCGGCTTTTCTTCATTGTTCATTAAATGGCTTCTCCATTTGTGATTTACGATAGAATACCTCTTTTCTTCTTTGTTCATGAGGTCACCTAGCCTTGCTCTGGTTCTGCGAAAATAGAGAATACTTGAACAAACTCCCATTCTGTTCGTTGATGGTCGGTTAATTGTGAGGGGCCAAACACAATTTAGAAATCTTTCCCAATTTGTTAAGATTTGATCGCAGAGAAACTCCTTTGCCAAATCAAACTAAGGTAACCTAGGATCTCTTTTACAACGTCAAATGCTGATTATCAACTTCTGTTATCGTGTAACAAATCTTTTTATCATGGCCAAGTCACAGCTTCAGGCAACACATTTTCACCTTCCAAGCTGCGTATGTTTCGCGTAGCTTAGCGTTATTATGCTTTATCTTAGGTTCGAGGTGTAATTCAACGATCACAGGGTAAAACAAACACTTGATAACTATAACGCTATGAGCTAAAAATATTGTTATTTTGATTATTTCGTCTATTTACAATTGAATAAAATCCCGCATTACATCATGATGATGATGACACGTGACTTGTGAGTATCAGATCTATGGTTCGAGATGTTATTCAAAGATCACAGAGTAAAACGAGCACTTGAAAACTATAACGCTATGAGCTAAAAATATTGTTGTTTTGATTATTTCATCTATTTGAATAAAATCCCGCATTACATATGCACCAACGCAATATTTTATAGAGGTTAATATTTAGTTGAAACAAAGTTATAAGCGAAATCAATCATTGTAAGCATGATATGTTACCGGACAATTGCAAACACCGTCTGTCTTGATACAAAATGTAATTTATAATTAGTCTCAGGTTTAATTAGGGTATATTTCAACTAAGAAGTATGGTGGTAAGTATGTGAACTTAAATATAAAATGTGGAATGGAATTTGATAACAAATGTGGAGTATCGCGAAGACTGTGGCGACGACTTCTTTCGTTCGTTCGACAGAGACTTTTCTTTAAACCCAAAACTATTAATAAACAACGTTTTGTCATAAGACCGCCAAAGTTTATAATAATTCAATCTAATATATAAAAATTAATTTATGTCTGTTCGTATATTTTGCGCTGCTATACCGTTCATAAGATCGCCGTAAAACATGATCAATTTGTTGCTTGCACTTGCGCGAAGGTTATAGGCATAGTACAACCAACTTCCAGTAGTTGGCGCGCGTATCGCAACAGCAAATTTATTTGAAAGTTGTAATTATATCATTCAACTTTAGTGAATATATTATCATTCTTAATTAAACAATATAACTGTTCCAAATTTAAAACGATATTTCCAAAATTATTTCTTCTGCGGCAGCAACGCGCCGGGTACCAGCTAGTTTAGAATATAATTCATAAAAATATTATAGTTTATAATATTCTTGCCATCATATTGTGAGTTACCAAGTAGCGAATCGCATAGTTGCAATCTGCAGGTTTTAAAAAAGTAAAAAACGATTATATTAAAAATTGAGGTTCAAGAACAGAAAATTGGAGAGGGCTTAATCATGTTCGTAAGACGGGACTGTTTTATAATTTAAATAATATTTTGATGTAGGTGATACGCAAAAGTGTTGCGATTTCATGTATTAAGTGTTTGCACATGTGGACTATTTTAGTGGATCCAACGAAACAAGCTTCGATATAAACCTCAAGTTATTTTGATCGCTTTGTCGCCTTAAGAACTTGAGTTACTGTTGTCATCGACTTTTCACTAAATTAATCTGTGTAGTCCTAGTAGTCCATATCGGTCTTGCACATGCCACCTTTGTACACCTCTCAGAACAATTCTTTTTTAAATGTTATTTAAAAGAATTATACAACTAAAATTCTAAAAATTTTATTAGAATTAGTCTCGTTACTAAATTATGAGAATTAAGATTATACGAGAAATAAATTAAGAGAGTTTACTTCAAATGACGACCTTCCGCCATTACGCTACTTTACTATTATTAGAACTACGTCGCAGGTCGATGTAGTACTTGACAAACCGTGTAGATGGCACTGTTACAGAATTATTTCATTTGTAATATTTATTTTACCAGATTTCTACCTTATTAAGTTACTATTAAGTTGCCAAGTTATTTGAAAACCTCTATCGTTGTTATTGATATGCATAGGTTCCATACATTAGTTGACAGGGCTTGGTTTTGAGAATCAAAAAAAAAATATTATTGAGATTGGCCTGACCACAGGTCTGACGGAGTTGGTCCGATATAATGTCGGGATCTGAGAGCTTAATGGATAATTCTTTATTACTTTACAGTGGCAAAGATATAATCATACGAGTTCATGATCAAAAAGAAACCCTCAGAAAATGTTTGTGTAATAAATCAAAGGGATATTTTCTTTCTAGTAAAATTGCTTTGTAATAGCGTCATCTACTTCATTCTATAGGTAAAGTCATTTTATCGAACAAAAATTGATTGACTTTAAAGGTGGAAAGTGAAATAGAGAGTGTCTAAAAACGACTTATTTAAGTCGGCAAGATATGAAATCGTGGAGTGAATTCTATTCAATATGGTTAATTTTATTTATTTAATATATTTGTTAATTTTTTTAAAAATGTTTATTTTTAACAGCCATCTTTAAAGCACCGCACAAACAGGAAACCGAGATAGTATTCTATCTCATTTTCACGCAAGCTAAATCCTATAGATGTGTACACATTTAAAAAAAGAATACAGTTTCCATCAAAGGTATGTATGTCTTACCATCGGCGTTTTCCTCTATGGGCTCGAACTCGCCGTCCTCCCAGCCGCCGAGCGAGTCGTTGCTGTTCTGGTGCGCGGCGAGCCGAGCGGAGCCGCGCACGTACGTGGCGCTCGCGTTGTGCGACGCCACCACCGCCTCCGACCACGCCGCGTTGTTCCAAGTCTCGGACGGACTCGCGAGCTCCGCTTCCGCGCTCTGATTGGGTTTGCAAAAATATTTTTTCGATTCATGACCAGTGCAAGCTTCAGTGCGAGAATCACAAGAAATACACACATAATAACGCTTCTTTTTTATAGAATGATGGTGACTTTATTCGAGTAACCATAACTCAAAGTAAGTTAGTGTGAATAATATTTTTTTTTTATAAGATAAGATTGACAAACGATCACAGTTCTGACGGTGAGTGAATGCTGTGGCCTATAGACATCTACATTCTATCCTTGATTAATAAACAAAATCCAGACGAATTGTCATCCCTAAAGACTGAGACGGCATGCCTCGCTTCAAGTAAAAAGTGACGCCGGTTCTCTACACTCACCGTACGAAGCTCAGCAGCGTTAATCTGCTATTCATTATTTGTAAAAATGCTTATATGCGCCCAGCAATTAACTTTTATAGTATTACATTCAGGTGCGTGTTCATACTTAAGGACTAAGATTAAATGTCTCACAGTCTGTAAATAACACCAATTTTTTATTTTGCGATAAAAATAAGCAAGATGTAACTTGTCTTTCGGATTCCAAAAAAGGCGAGACCTCTAGAGAGGATCTCCTCATAGAATAAGTACATTACTTCACAAGTGCTGAAGGCTCAGAACCGTGTTGTCAACTCCTTAAAAGGTTATTATTTGTAGATCCGGAACAATTTTTTGTAGATCATACAAATATATGTTCCGTGCGGGATTCCAACCCGCGGGCCTCAGCGCTGCAACTCATTGCAAAGTCACTGCACCACGGAGCCGTCGTTTGTCAACCATATTATATAAAACAAATCGGGATGTGGCTGTGTCGTGGACACGGCCGTGTATTTTACGTGAATACGTGTACGTAAGGAAACGTCCTTAAAATATTAGCGCGCGATTTACCTATCGAGTGATGTAATTAAATGTTGGATGTAGATGATAGATACGTAGCTGCAACAACAAGCTGTATCCGCCGATATTGTTATCATCAGTTTTATGAATTGCCTCCCACTATGGAAGCAAATTTAAAGATGTATTCACGTCAAAACAAAACACATAAGCTAAATAATTAATAAAGTAAATAGACAGTGCAGTATATGGGTAGTGCAATGTGACTGACCGGTTGCTCCTGCAGCGTGCCCCACTCGCCGTCCCAGTCGTCCTCGCAGAGCGCGGCGAGCGCGGGCGTGGCGTGCGCGCTGCCGCTGCTCGGCGGCGAACGCGCGCTCGCGCCCGTGCCCGTGCCTGCTCGTCCCCGCACCAGTACAATCACACGTTACTCACCGACAACACCATCGATATATATGTACTACGTACTAGATTTCGCATTCCGAACATACACTGTTTAGGCCCAAACATGGGTATTTGAAACTGCATCCAATAGCGCTTGACTCAGCGCATCGCCCGATGGTGTGAGGTGACGTGAGCGCCGCCGGGGGGGGGGGGGGGTGGGCGTTATGCCACTTCCCGGCGTTCGGCCTCGTGGGCTAGCAACAGCTCCTTGAACGCCGCGACTCTGTCAACTAGTTGTTTGTTTGCAACCGCTGGATCGGTTGTGCGCAGCCAGTTTTGGTTTTGATGGTCTAGAGTTTGAGTAATTGTGGCGCGTCGGAAGTTAACCAATGCAGCGCAGTCACTAGGACAGCGTGGTCACGTACCGTATAACCTCTAAACAGTGTCGTGTTTTGTTAGCAAGTTTATGCAACGACGAGGAGTTTTGTTGAGTCTAGAAAAATAGATTGTCTGCGCGGACGCTGGGTCGATTAATTGTTTTGGAAGTTAATATTGATTGCGATCGACGTCCGGTCTTTGATGCGTGTGGAATTTACTATTGCAGTTTTCGATAGACTCGTGAGGTCACGTTAAGATCGCTTCTATTTTGAGTTATCATTTTAGTGCGTTTACGCGATAACGAGGCCGTCTAAGTGTTGAATGAAAAAAAACCTTTGTTTGCAAGTCATTTACGTCAATTTGTATAGTGATTGCATTTTGAAGCGCATTTGCAATATTTAATTTGCTTGAGTGGCCTGTAAATATCGTACGAAAGAAGTTAGTTTGTTGTGTGGAACGCGGAACTTTGTGACCCGAGAGAAGGTCGCGTTCGGTTTCTAGAAATAATTTGTTGCTAAGTGAAAACGGAAGTTGAACTTTGATCAACCGTTCATTAGTTGTGCCGTGTGTCACGTGTTTGATTACGATTAACGGGGATTTAGTTGAGTTTGAAGTTAATTAAATGTACAATAAAGTTGATAGATTGAAATAGTATACAATAAAGTTGATAAGCTGAAATAGTGAAATGAAGTCAGCAGTTTTCGATTGGTGACGTCCGCTGGAGTGATACCACCTCGTGGGGCAGTATCGGACCAGGCCGCTGCCCGATCACCTCGGTTAAGTCAGGTCACACACATACTCACCTTCTAACACAATCTTACATGCACCTACCTAATGCCTGACCGAGCCTTGTGGTCAGTCTTAGCTTCGGAACCAGGTACGTCCTATTTATCTACCTAGCCTTAGATACTACATATCCATTGGCCATTTGGGCCCCGTCCTCTGTTGCCCGTCGATTGGATTACTCATGGGCCCTAGTCCAGTCAACCTTTGTCGGGGCAACTCAGGGCGTGAACATACACTATGTTTAACTGAACTGTACTGCAATCCGTACAGTGTGTCATTTAGTGTGGTTTCAATCTACTACTTAGTCTGTGGTTTCAATATACATGCAGTGTGGAGCGGCGCTAATAATACAAGATTTCAAATTAAAGTTTAAATTAAAAACTGACCGCGCAGGCGCAACGCGCTTAAATCAACTGCGCATCCGCGACTCTACTATCTCCCGCGCATGCGCGAAGACATAGAGTAGTGCACATTTTTTGTTTAGAATGGCTTCTCTAGTACGTAGTACATATAACTCAATGGATAACACAAACACATTACTACATAACTAGCTGTGCTCCGCGACTTTGTCCGCGTGAAATTTACGATTGGATTTCATGATATATTTTTTTTTGCGCGAAACTCTAATTCCTTTTCTACGATAAACGTAGCTTATGTTACTCTTTATAACATCAGCTATCTGCCAGTGAAAGTCCCGTCAAAATCGGTCCTGCCATTTCGGAGATTAGCCGCATTAGACAGAGACAAAAACATTTTTTTGTTATAAGTACCGTATGTACTTTCAACATTTAATAAAAAGCTGTTTTTCAACATTACAAACAGACACTTCATTTGTATAGATATTACAGCATACACATAAAGCAAAGAAAGAACGTACAACAATATAAACATCCTCATTAACCCGTAGGTATCGTAAGAGGCAACAGGAAGAAATAGAAAATAAATAAATAATAAAAGCACATTATTCACTGACAACACATATACAAAACAAAGAAAGAACGTACAGTGTACAACAATATACCCAATAACAACATCCCATTGGTGTCGTAAGAGGCGACAGAGGGAAACTGAAACATTTTATTACGTGGCATCTACAAATTAGCCTGTTTGGATAAAATTTATTGTAAAAATGTCAACAATAACATTGTTGTAAGTACCTTAGAGAAATATTTTTTTATGAAATATTACTTATAAATTTCTTAATTTTTTTTACTTATTATAAGCCAGTGCTTGACCTCAATCCCACCTGGTGGGAAGTGGTGATGCAGCCCTTGATGGTAAATCGCACTGTCTTAGCGTAACAAAAGCCTATTCACTCTTGCCTTGAATTGAAACGCCCAGATTGTATTTGGATGGAAAGATAGACGCCGGCAAATTATTCCACTCCTCTGCTGTACACATTACAAAAGTCGAAGCAAACCGTTAGTTTTAAATAAATTCTTCATTTCAGATAATTTAAAATCCATATGTGGGTATAATAATAATAATAATAATCGGAATCGGGCTGTCGTGAGGGCTCTCAACCCAATGCTGGTGACCTATTTGGAAGCCAGCCGGGACCTTTGCGAGACGGACTCAATTCTTTTTGGCGCCGCACAGGCAGTTTGCCGTATTATTGGCGCCAAACTTCCCAAGGCTGGACGCGCTACTAGACAAAGTAGCGCCATCCCAGCCTGGAGAAGAAGGATTGAGGACCGTATCGCAAAGGCAAGGGCCCTCATCGGCAGGCTGATAAGCTTCAGGTCGGGCAATAATAGGCCGAGAATTGTGCGCACCGTCAGGATGGCGTTTGCTGGGACAAACATCAGTTTGTCCCAGCCGGATATAACGCAAAAACTGACGGAGCGCATAGACGACCTGAAGCAGAGAATCGCTGCTTGGGGGAAGCGGATTCGGCGATATACCGAGAGGTCGACACGGTTCAACCAGAATCGTCTCTTCCAGAGTGATCAGAAGAGGCTCTATGAATCATTGGAGCGACCAATGGTACGTGGAACGGGCCCAGCACCGAATCAGGCCGACACTATCGCATTCTGGCGCGGCCTGTGGTCAGAGCCCGTAAACCACAGCGAGGGCCTTTGGACGGAAGTTGTGGCGAGTCAGTGTGCGAATGTTACGCCCATGGACCCCGTCATCATTACGCCGGATGACGTAGCTGAGGCGGTCCGTAGGGCCCCGAACTGGAAAAGTCCGGGACTCGACGGACTGCATCACTACTGGCTGAAGGGGTTCGTGGTGTGTCACGCTGTTCTCGCCCGACAGTTTCAAGAGGCTCTCGACCAAAAGTCGCTCCCGAGCCTCTTCACTACTGGGATCACTCATTTGGTTCCTAAAGACCGAGATTCCACAGACCCGAGCAAATACCACCCCATAACGTGTCAACCTACCATATACAAGACACTAACATCCATTTTGAGCGCAAGAATCACTCGTCACCTGAACTCAAATCAGGTGATGTCGCGCGCTCAAAATGGATGTCGGGGCGGCGGTCGTGGAACCAAGGAACCATTCCTCATTGACGCGGTCATTGGCAAGGTGGTTAAACGCAACCGTCGGAACCTCTCCGCCGCCTGGATAGACTACAAAACGGCATTCGACTCGGTGCCTCATACATGGCTGAAGAGGGTCCTCGAGCTGTACAAGGTTGACTGTACAGTTCGAGACTTCCTCGGGCAGTGTATGGGGCAGTGGAGTACGATCCTTTGTCATCTAGGCGAGCGGATGACGGCTGCGGAGAACCACATAAGGATAAGAAGGGGTATCTTCCAGGGCGATTGTCTGAGTCCAATCTGGTTCTGCCTCTCTCTGAACCCTCTTAGTACCTTACTGGAGGGTTCCGGGAGGGGATTTCAGCTTCGGAGAGGAGGTACAAAAGTGACCCACCTTTTCTATATGGATGATCTCAAGTTATTCGCCTCCAGTCGCTCTCATCTTATGGAATTGTTAAAAACAACAATTCTATTAGAATGGAGCTGGGGACGGATAAGTGTGCGGTCCTCCAAGTCGAAAGGGGTAGGGTTGCTAACTCTGAGGGCATAGACTTATCTATACCCATCAACATAAAGACCCTATCCGAGGCTGAAACATACCGATACCTGGGTATGTCACAGAACATAGGTACCGATGAGGCGGACATGAAACAGTCAGTTTGCGGTGTGTTTTATGCACGCTTGACAAGAGTGCTTAACAGTCTTTTGTCGGGCGTTAATAAGACACATGCATATAACGGTTGGATCATACCTGTTCTCATGTATACCTTTGGCATGCTCAGGTGGACTCAGACCGAACTGAACGCTCTGGACAGAAAAGTCAGCACTATAATGACGTCCCACAGGATGCATCATCCGAGATCGTCAGTAATGAGGCTGTACTTGCCGAGAAAGCATGGTGGGCGCGGCTTTTTAAGCGCGCTTACCATGCATAATCGCGAAGTGTGCAGCCTCCGTAATTACTTTCTGACGAGAGCGGATGATCCATTCTATAGGGACGTTATTTCTTGTGATAAAGGACTTACCCCTCTATCCTTAGCCAACGAGCAATGGCAAGACCCGGCAGTATAGAGCATTTCCGACCGGGAGACCGTATGGAAGGAGAAGGAGCTCCACGGGAGGTTCTACAAGGCTCTACATGAACCTTGCGTAGACACAGTCGCCTCCCTCCACTGGCTACGTTTCGGTGACCTCTTTGGGGAAACCGAGGATTTTGTCTGTGCGATACAGGATCAGGTTATTAAGACCAACAATTATCGGAAATACATCCTAAAGGATGGCGCCGTCAACATCTGTCGAGCTTGTCGTCATCCCGGTGAGTCACTTAGGCATGTCATCTCCGGTTGTTCGGCGCTTTCTAACTCTGAGTATTTGCACAGACACAACCTAGTAGCCAGGATTCTACACCAGGAGCTCGCTCTGAAATACGGTCTCGTGGATCGGAAACTGCCATATTATAATTACTTGCCGGAAGCCGTGCTCGAAAATGACCGCGCCAGGCTCTACTGGGACCGGGCCATCATCACGGACAGGACTATTCTTGCGAATAAGCCTGATATTGTGCTGATGGACCGGGCACAGTCAAGGATATTTTTGGTCGACATTACCATTCCTTATGACGAGAACCTCGTGAAAGCCGAAACAGATAAGTTGACAAAATATCTGGACCTGGCTCACGAGGTGACCGACATGTGGGGTGGTCTGCCGGCCGAAATTATTCCTGTGGTCGTCTCTGCGAACGGGTTAATCCCAGTCAGCCTCTCGGGTCATCTGAGGCGACTGGGACTCCGTGACGGATCGCTCCAAGCTCAAATGCAGAAGGCGGTGCTCCTCAATACCGCCCGCATCGTCCGCCGGTTTCTTTCCCTTTCCCCCTAACCCTCGGCCGTTTGGTCTCCCCTGCCGAGGGCTTCCATCTGGTTGGGTTTTTATATATTTATGTAATTTTTATGTATTTATTTTATTTTATTGATATTTATGTAAGTTTATCATTTTCATTTACAATTATATATTTATACAGCCCAACCAGATGAGAAAACATTATAGATAACCCAGATAACAAGGGTTAGTAAAACAATGGTTTGCTTAGCTCGAGGGAAAAAAGTAATACCCTCACTTAGCGGTTAGCCACCGTAGAGTCTATATCATCTGAGGATGCCTCGTGTAGAGGCGAAACACGTGTCGTATTATCGTCAGTGGTGTGTCTTGCCTAGTGTAGTGGTGTTGGGAGTAGCGGTGCTGGGATTAGTGGTGACGGGGATAGTGCACGCAATTGAGGGAGGGCGGGAGGTGCTTCTTCATACTAGGTAAGACACATCATTTTATTTTATAACGCGGATATTTGCGAAGTAAATTTTTGTAAAAGCTTTTATATAATACCCTGTGCCGAGACAGACCATCATGGGGGTGGACAGGGCCCAGTGATCAGTCTTTGCACAAGACACATCCACAGCGGCGATGTATATCTGTACGCTACGGTCCTCGGAATGTTGTTGTGACTGGCTTGTAACCTGCTAATAAGGGATGCGTTTTTTTTTGCGTATAATGGCATTAAACCCATCTGTTTGGTATGCCGCAAACATCCCTGATGCACTACGAAAACGAAGCAGTCCCAACAACATCCTGAATATATTGTATTGGATGCGCAGGGCTTTAAGCGATGTGTTGGTGTATTTGACCCACAGGCTCCCCGTGTATACGCTCTGGCAGTATGCTTTAAAAAGCGTAACCTTAAGTTGTTTTGTACTACCCTGCGACCCAACATATTACCTCTAACCACTAGAGCCCTGCGATCCTTTTCAATGTCAGCATCATCTTTGAGGTCACCAGTAATAATAATATGTCCCAGATATTTAAATTTAGTGACATGTTTCACGTTCATGCCATTAAGAGTAACATTATCTGCAATATTGTGACATTTATCAGCGGCCTCAAAGAACATGTACTCTGTTTTTTTTTTGACATTGTATGTGAGCCCATGCTCAGTAGCATACATCTCTCATACCTTTAACATTTCTCTTAGGTCTCCCATCGTTGCGCTTAGCAGCACCATATCGTCAGCGTAACTTATATTATTAATGTTAACGCCATCTATGCGACATCCGACGCGCACACTGTTCAACTCCACGATAAGGTCATTTACATACATGTTGAAGAGCTTGGAAAGCGTCAACCCCCCCTGTCTCACCCCGCACTCCAACACGTATCCTTCCGTACAGAGAATCAGACAATCGACACAGGAAAAAATGACGGTATTAGTTCTACACTAATACCGTCATGACCGGGGACTTGCCATCTGTCATTATTTTTAGCGCCTCTCTAACCTGCTTTGCAGTAACGCGCCTCAGTGGCACGTCAGGCCTAACGTCACATCTCTTGGTAGCTTTACAAAACTGTTTAAAGTTTTTGTCCACCCTATGCTGTGCTAGGATGTCCATTTTCAATTGTTCTTGGTTTCGTAGACACCATTTTAACCGACTTTTGAATATTTTACGGGACTCGTTCATTTGATCATAGATCTTTTCAGATGATGGCCGATACGACAACCATATCCTAATAAGCCTGGCCACCCGATGCGCCTCTTGAACATGGATTTAATGCGTGGAATATCGACGACAAAATGGCGAAGACCCGCCGACAGCCTGGTCGTCCGATGGTGGAAAGGAGAGGGAGGAATTAAAGCGTGTAATTGCTGCGCACTCTCACCGAAATGCATCCTGTAGAGTACCGAGAGACTGGCTACTCTGCGCCTGCGCTCGAGGCTGACAAGATTGGTTTCAACCAAATCAAGGTCACCAATGAGCCTCTTAGCACGTCTCTCCACTGAGTCCAACGCTGACAGGTGGCATTTTGCAGCACCAGCCCATATGTGACAGCAGTACTCCATGCACGACCGGACTTGCGCTTTATATAAGATAAAAAGCTGCCCCGGCGTGAAGTACCACTGCACCCTTGCAAGGACACCAAGTTTCTTACGGCTGTTTTGGCTCTGGACTCAATGAACTACCCATAGTTGAGGTTCGGAGAAAATTCAACCCCTAACAACTGAAGGCGGTCAGTGTAGTCCAAGGCTTTACCACCAATGGGCACGTCAGCAAAGGGGATGAAGTACTCCATCGCTTGACGTATCACATCGGTTTAGGCATCCGCACAGCTCGACGGATCTTCAGACGGGAAGCAGACCTACCGCCAAGGACAAGATGCAAAGAAATGCCGCATCTCATCCCAATCTGCCGACTTGTATCGCCACACTCGCCGCACACCGTGGAAATCGTAGTTAGGTGGGGAATATAAAATGACACAGATTTCACCGACAGTGGTCAGAAGTTCCCAAAGGTGAGGTAACCTGAACATCGTACCTGTCTGGATCGGTCGTCAGCAGAAGGTCGAAGCAGTTGGCTGTGTGCCCATCCACATAAGCTACCCTAGTCGCTTGTTGTACCAGCTGGGAGAGCCCCAGCGACAAGGCAAAATTCCACGCTCTCCCACCGTGGTCGGTCTTCTGGTATGGGAACAGCCAGTCCTGATGACAGGCATTAAAGTCCCCCAGAAAAACCAACTGTGCATTAGAGTACCGATTTAAAGCCACATCAGAGGCTTCACTGAGGTGTTCAAACAGCCTAGTTGTCTCCTGGTCACCGCTGTGCGATCGGTAGGCACAAGAATAAATAATTTTATCCATTCCTGTATTTATCAATACCCAGATCGTAGAGAAAGTGGTTCAAGGTGACAGAGACTGTTACAGCAGATGTCGTTGCGGACGTAAACACAGACTCCGACACGCTGATGAAAATTATGCTCCAATGTGTACCCAGGGTACGCCGCATCTAGAGGACATCTGATCTGCGTCTCAGTCAAGAAGAGTAAGTGCGGCTTGTCAGTTTCAAGGTGGTAGTGGACTGCATTGAGATTACAGAGCAGGCCTAGGATGTTTGTGAGGTGCACTTTGATGGAGAGGGAGTGCAACCGCTGTACAAACTTACTCTTCTTTTTGCTTTTAAATGTATCAAATGTCAATTTACATTGTATAATATGTTTTACGTTACTTAAGAATTTTTCACGATAAACATATTTTTACATTTAATAAGAATTTTCGAGAAATGTTCAATACACTTGTAGAACAATAGATCAAAACATAATATAAAGTTGTCATCATCAATCATTTTAACGGTGTATGCATTTTTGCCACCAGTTGCCGAACGCATATCTTCAAGTTCTCTGTTTTTTTTTTAAATTACAATATCAATTAGGCTTTTCAGCAATTCTGAACGAGATCATAGACAAGCTATGATCTACTTTACAGAATCGGTTAAAGATCTTAATTGTTATTTAAATTAAAAATTATGTTTTTACTTTAAAGTGTTTGTTATGATAAACTATATTTTAGAACAAATCATACCTGCACTGGAGTCGATCTCGCCCCATGCAGTCATGTCCCAGTGTTCGGGATCGTAGTCGGACGCAGACTCGCTGTGCTCCAGTGACGTCATAGACGTTACTGATGACGTCGTCGTTGACATACTACTTGATGATGGTTGTTCTACAAGAGAAAGTGACACAATCTTTACAAATTAATTGTATCTATGTAGCTAAATATATAAAATTCAATTGCTGTCGTTTGGTCTCGCTAAAACGCGAAAACGGTTCGAACGATTTTGATGTCTTTTTTTGTGTGCATTTGAGTGGGTTTCTGGATAGTTTAGATTCACAATTGGACCCGGTAGGTGGCGCTGTTGTCAAGATCGAGAAATCACCCGTGCGAAGCCGATCGCTAGTATTATATTACTTTAAGACAATAATGTTATTATCCAAAGTAATAAACAACAACCGTTGACGTTTTTGCTTCATATATTCCTATTCTTTCTTTAGATTACTTGTATTCGTATCGATTGTACATGATTAATACTCTTCCTAGTGTATTTACGTGTTGTCTATATTTAAAATGAAAAATCAGTTCAGTCTTTATTTTCGGTCATGGCGGCCAGTCTTAACGGAGGCTAAGCCTTCAGCTATCATGAGCTGTGATGATCCTGACAATTATTTTATTTTATCTTGGTGATCCTGATCAGGTTACTAGCATAAAGTAATTGAATTATTGTATTGTCGGTCCTTGATACGAACAAACTTTCAAGTCAATCGACTGTCTCCAATTTGGTGAAAATTACATTAAAAGATTTCGTTACATCGAGAGATACACGCGAAGCTAATGAATGCGTGTTAAAAAGAATCATACCCAGCGAGCCAGGTTTAGAGAGAGCGGACTTGACGGAGTGCTGCACTCGTGCAGTATCAGAGTGTGAACGGTAGAATTTGGCCGTGACCGCTGTGACCGCCCAACCGGCCCACGTCGCTGCCGCGTTGCTTAGCGACGGCGTCGCTGTGTGCACGTCCGCTTCTGCAAAAGTTACATAATTATATAAGTAAAACCGCCTGAGTTAACTTGAGACTTTGTTGAGAATTATTTGAGCTAGATTAAAAAATAAATAATACAATTATATGTAAAGGAAGAGCTGTTGGGTGAAATTAATAAGTATAATATACAAAAATGCCATTTGTTAAATGCAACTTACCCATTCCTTCTTTCAAACTTGGATCCTCTGATACTTTCTCCAATTTACCAAGAAAGCCTTTTATTGTTCTAAAAGCTGCATCTCTGACCTGTAAATTAATCAGATACTAAATTTAACACAATGAAAATATATGAAAACCTAATTTACCAAACATATTAATTAGCTAAGTTTTACAAAATATTATTTATTTATTTATTAATTTACTTTATTGATGATAGAACAGAAACAAAAGGTTTAAAAAAATCACACAAGAAAACAAAAAAGGTTCATTTTATTGTAGAGTTGGTTTTCGATTTTGATACTTGAAATAAATTTTTCGATGATGTTTTTTAGGGTGGTATCGAACTAAGTGATGGCATCAAATAAGTAGGGTCGTTCTTCTCTTATATCTTTCGATGATTCGACGTTTTGTCAAGAAATTAGTTTTTCTTCGAATTCGCAAGTTGAATGCATCCGATACAAAACTTATCGCCAAATACTCAAACGCTATAAACACACTGTCACTTTGATTTAAAAGTGATAGTGACAGACAGACAGTACGAGCCTTAACAGCATCACACAATACAACAACACATACAATTTCGCAGACGTGATTAATATCTATAACTATGCCAAATTGCAGCATTGTAGCATCTACGATTTCCGAGATAAACCGCGGACGGACGGACAGACATAGCGAAAGTAACGGTACGTGTACACCAAAACCGATTTTGTCGGCCGATGGCGGACAGAACTAGACGAGTAACTCGGACGTGTATGTGCTTACACTGCAATAGTGTACCACTTGTGCCGACATTCTGTAGTTGACTGTGTTGCTTAACAGAGTGAAGGCATATTTTTTTTTAATGTCTGGAACCTTTATATCCATTTCCGATCCAATTTCAGCCCATAATCGTTTCGAAACCTCTCGATTATTGTAATTTTTTAAATGTTTATCGCATAGGGTTGGTACTATTATAAACACAATGAATTAATTTTTCAATATCCATAGTTGTTTAGGTAGATAACAACACTGTTAGAACAACAGAATTATTAAATTAAACTATAAATACACTCAATTCGTACTGTAGACGCCGGCAGTCTGGTGAGAAATCCCAACAAGTTCGGACTCGCCGTCGTCGCCCGAGCAACCTTCGGCCGATGACGGATTAGGTGTACGCGAACCCTAAGGGTTCGTTGTTGTTGAAATACGGAACCGTATAAACAGTGCACCTGCTTCTCGGGGTCGGCAGTGAGCGGGCAGAGCGCGGGCAGCACCCTGTTGGCGACCTCGGCCAGCAGGAAGTACTGCTGCGTGGCGGCCAGCGCCAGCACGCCCGCCTGGCGCGCCGGCGGGAACGCGTCGCGCGTCGCGCGCACGAACGCCGACACCAGCACCTTCTGCCGGATCTGCGGGTGCAGGTGCGCCGCCACCTTGCCCAGGCACACCGTCGTGTTCGTTCTGTGCACACAAGTGTTGGACGTGCTACACCCACGCTGCAGCTGTGTTCATTGTATACTTGTAGCGCCAATGGGTCGGCTCGACCGGGGAAGGATTACACTCTCACACAATACCAGCGTAAAATAGCAGCTTAATCCTGCTGTGTTTCGTATAGTGAGTGTAGAGAACCGGATACCCTTTTTAATAGAAAAGAGGTATTTCATCTTAGCCTCCTCACGGCTGACAACGCATCTGCATTTTGATTGGCAAACGAAGATAGATGTATGTAGATGTCTATAGGCCACAGCAACCGCTTACCGTCAGGTGGACTGTGTGCTTGTTGTCACCCTTATACTATATAAAAAAACACGCGTGTGTGTGTTAATACTATTTAATTCTATCATTCATTAATTGCAACCTATCAACGTATACTACTAAACACGGATCTCTACTCGAGATAACCTCCATGAAGGATATATTGCAATACTTACACGCTAGTCAGGCGGGCAGGTAAACCACAGTTTTTATTATTGTATGTTGTTTACAGAAAAATGCTGCTGCCTCATCTCCTATTTTAGTTTCCCCCTGTCGCCTTTTGCGACACCCACGGGAGAACATGAGGTAGTGGATTGTTACGCTGCCTACCTACTCAACCGTCCACTGTGACTACAGTCCCCAAAAAAAATATGGCTTCACCTGTGCACGGTGAATATAATCATCAAACGACATCTTTCGGTTTAAGCGTGCACAGCGCAAAAGATAGCTGTTATTAATACAGTAAAAAAATTATAGATGGTGCTATTTAAAATTTGTCATCTGTAAGAGTGAATAGTCGAGTGAATCATTAGGTTTTTTTTAATATTCACTATAGCTAGATCGAATCTTTGAGAAAACAGTATCATCAATATTTTAATAAAATTTATCGATTTTTCGTTTACCTCAACGTCTATTTCTTATTCATAAAATTGGAGCAAAACATATAAACCAACTTCAATGATCATCAGGTCTGTTTAAATTTTATATACTCGTAATAAAATAATCAGCAAAAAGTTAATTATTCAGATATATTGTTCATGTTAAAAAAAAACAATTAAAACTATTTTTATGCCCATTCATCTTACGCATATAACCCAATTTAATGCAAAGAAACAAGTACCTTATTCCTCCTTGATCGTCCTTGGATTGCAATCTAGCAAAATGCTTTAGTACTTCTACATTCAAATTATTATAGTTTAGCTTAGGTGCAAGATGGACAATTGATTTAACAGTCTGTTCTCTTATAATTGCATTTGTATCTAAAAAGCCGTGTACCACCTGTGGAAATATTTGGTCATTTACCTGTAACAAAAAGTGCAAAAAAATTTGAATTAAGTAACTATTTATTAGTAAAGATGAATGACCAATTATAATAACCCTTATTTTTTTTACGTGGTAGAGCTACCTGCATATATATTATGGTTGTAGCACGAATGGGTCAGCTCGACTGGGGATGAACCACACTCTTACAGAATGATAGTGTGAAATAGCAGGTTAATATATATAATAATATTTCAAAGACATAATATATATATATATTACTGGAAATAGTTCATCCATGTTAGTCCTCAGAGGTGTTAATGCATATATGTATGTGTCACAGTCAAACTCATAACCGGTCAAAACCACTTTAAACTGCAAAAATCACGCAAAATTTTTGTAGTCAAAGTGTTTTTTTTAACCAACGCTCGTAGTCAAAAGTGGTGTTGTCTTATTTAAACTTCAGACTATCGGTCAAAACTTGCAATATCAGTAACATTAGGTACAGGTGCGGCTAGAGTAGCCCCTGGGCCAACCTAAAGCCGCGTACAATATAATGATATCAAATATAATATTTAAGAAATAGAACTTTTTAATATCAGAAATTCAAAAAGTATAAATCAAAATAAGTTTTGACTAACATTGTTGGTCAAAACCACTTTTACCCAATGTAATTGGGTCAAAATCACTATTAACGTGTTTTAGCAGTTAAAAGTGGATTTGACCAACGGCCTTAGTCAAAACTACTTCTGACTGCAAAAATCAGTTAAAAGTGATATTGACAAACGTCCTTAGTCAAACTAATGTTGCATGATTTTTACAGTCAAAAGTGGTTATGAGTTTTGACTGTAACATATATATTGATTCTTAAGATGTAGATATCTATGTGCCACAGCATTCACTTACCATCAGGTGGACTGTGTACTCGTTTGTCATCCTTATTCTATAAAAAAAAATAGCTATACCAGTTATTTAAGGTTGCGCTAGTTCGCGATTTTTTCATATTATCATAGGTGGGTGGTTACTCACCATCTGATGATGTATGTCTTTTTTTTAATAGGATAAGGGTGACAAACGAGCACACAGTCCACCTGATAGTAAGTGGTTGCTGCAGCCCATAGACATCTACATCTATCCTCTATCACAAATCAAAATGCAAATGCGTTGTCACCCGTGAGGACTAAGGTGGAATGCCTCATTTCCAGTAAAAAGGGCCCCCGGCCACCTGCACTCACCAAGCGAAACGCAGAGGTAAACCTCTACTTCACGCTGGTATTCTGTGAGGTCGTGGTACCACCCCGGTTCGAGCCGGCCCATTCGTGCGGCAGCAAAAGATGCCGCGTGGCTCTACCACTGTTCAAAATGTTAAAACATAAGCATGATATTGACTTGCTTTGTTGTAATCTAGGTTTCTACATAAGCAGAACGGAAAAAAGTATTGATTTGGAAATGAAGAGGTTTGAAAACAGTAATTTATAGCAACTACTGAATGAATAACATATTATGAAGTATGAAAAGACTAAATAATTTACATACAGGCATAGTTTATATAATATTTAATAGTTCAAATTAGTTAATTTACATTTAGTAGCGTTTTTATAAAAGTCCTTGTCCCAAAGGTCTGTTACAAATTTTCCGCACTTGTATTCTATTCTAAAGTCTGTTCGGCGAGATTTGATAAATATTATGATAACGTATATGCAATCAGTGTGACAGGAGTCGCTTATCGCCACAAGCACAGTTTTGTGGTACGAGGCTCGCAGCTGTTGTCAAGCGTTAGACCGGCCGGGCGAACCGACGACGGTAAGGCTTGTTCGTTATCTATCAACAAAAATAATTTGCGGGTCGCAATTTGTAATGATTTTAGTAGCACTGTTTTTTTTATCAACTTTTGCCGAACAGACTTTAATCTCTACTAAGTTATTCCAATACCATAATATAATAACATATATTTTAATGCTATTAATCAACTTCCACATTTTTAAATTATATAATAATTTGTATGTTATCATATATAAGTATGCTACTTACAGTAGAATTCTGAAGATGCATTATAAACTGATCAAGTTGCTGCAGCAATCGTGAGCGAGTTGTTCGGTCATTGGACGCGAATAATTTCACAACGCATGGCACAATTTGTTTTTGATAGTCCGCTTCCTCCAACAGTTTGCCTAACTGAAATAAAAATAATTTTGCTACAAATATACTTTAGGTAAGTCACGAATAACAGTGCGTTGATAAAGCACTTCATTAATTAGGTACTAACACATTGAAGTATTATTTACTTTCGGTTTTTCAACATATTATTAATTTATTATATTTACAAAAATACTAAATATTAAAAAAATAACTTTTATAGTTATTTAAGCAAAGTAATTTTATGCTGTTGCACGTATGGACTGACTCGGGCCGGGTTGGTAACACGACCTCACAGAATACCGGCGTGAAGTGGAAGCTCTGCTACTACGTTTCATCTGGTGGCCGAAGGCCCAAATCCCCCCCCCCCCCCCCCCCTTCAACACGGTAGCGGAATTAAATGAAAGACTATCCCGGGAGGGTACCTGCACCCGTGAAGAATCCCTCTGAGCGGTGACGCTGAGCATCCACGACCACTCAATAACTGCTCGGGGCAAACTGAGCAACACGACCAAGGCGACGCCTGCCACGGTATCCGTGAATTTTTGCAACATCAGGGGACTTCAATCGGACCTAAACGCCGTCCACTACCATCTCGAAACGGCAAAGCCGGCCTTGCTCTTTCTGACTGAGACGCAGGACGCAGGAACACTCCTTTGTGACTCGGGCTGGAGTTTGCGTATACGTCAGAGAGGATATCTGTTCTCGACGCCTCGGCGATCTTGAAGTTTCAGACCTGTCCATCCTTTGGCTACGCGTAGACAGTGACGACCATGCGGGCGTCTACGGGACTGCCTCTATAGGTCCCATAGCGGTAATGCCGAAACAGACCGACTCATCGACCACGTCCAAAAGACTACAAATTCCTTGTAGGTCCCATCCAGAGATCAGAGATCGTGATCCTTGGCGATTTTAACGCTCACTACGCCGAATGGCTCTGTTTGCGTTTAACCGATCATGCGTGGAGATCTGTTCATGATTTTGCCTTGGCATATGGCCTGACACATCTGGTTACTACGCTTACGCGGATTCCAGGTGTGGAGGATCATGCTCCTTCCCTGTTGGACCTTCTGCTGACCTCTCATCCGGACAGATATGAGGTCTCCATCGACGCCCCTCTTAGCTCCTCGGATCGTTGTCTAGCCCGAAGTGTTTTTTTTTATAGGATAGGGTGACAAACGAGCACACAGTCCACCTGATGGTAAGTGGTTGCTGTGGCCCATAGACATCTACATCTATCCTCGTTTGCGAATCAAAATGCAGATGCGTTATCAATCGTGAGGACTAAGATGGAATGCCTCTTTTTGTGTGGTGCCACTCACGCTGAAATCGCGCTTGCTTTCTGCAGTCTGCCACCGTGTTTGGCACTATAGGTCGGTCGATTGGGATGGGATGCGGTCTTTCTTTGCATCCTACCCTTGGCCGGGATTGGGCGGGTTTGCTTCTCGCCGGACAATCCCTACGTTGTTGCTAATTCTGTTGCTGATGTGATACTTCAGGGTATGGAACTTTTTATTCCTTCCTCTGTAGTGCCCATCGGAGGCAGATCTCAGTCATAGTTTAATTGCTCCTGTAAAATAGCATCACACCACAAGCAGGAGTACTACCGGCCTGGGCTGACGCATCAACGTCCCGGGATGTAAACACCAGCGCCCTTAAAAGAAGTATAATTCCGCCTCCAGGTCCTTCAAAAGAGTCACTGGCAAGGCAAAGTCAAAACACAACAAAGTAAGTTGTGATGCAGTCGAAGATTGCAAAGTGCACTGACTTAATATTAAAGTATTGACGGCTCCGTGGCGCAGTGGCTTAGCAATGAGTTGCTGCGCTGGGGGGCGCGGGTTCGAATCCCGCACGGAACAAGTATTTGTATGGCCTACAAATGATTGTTCCGGGTCTGGATGTTTGTCCTTGTGAAATTTGTGTTTGTAAACTGCCTCCACGATACAGGAGAAAATCCTAGTGTGGGGGTAACGTATTATAAAAAGAAAATAAAAAAAAAAAGTTATAATAATTATAATGTTATCTGAACTGCTTAATGGTATAAATATTTCTTCTTTGTATGTTAATAAATATTAATGATGCAAAAAATATTCATCACTTGTAATAAAATAGAAGATCTCGCTAAAGGTCTGATGAATTTGATATGGTATTAAGTTAAAATATAAAAATGCTTTAAAGAATCCAAGAATTTTCTTCTACAAAATTTACGGAATATAAGTAAAGTAGGAAAATATTTCATGCCTTTCATTCTCTAAAGCGTCTTCAAAGTTTTCTACCCTTGTCTACTAAGATATCCATAGTCCAGACTCTTATATTACCAATTTTAGATTACGCTGATGTATGTTATCTGGATGCTACAGAGGAGCAAATCAATAAACTTGAGCGCTTGCAAAATTTATGTATTCGATACATTTTTGGCTTAAAGAAGTTCGATCACGTTTCTGTTTATCGCAAGCAGCTTAAATGGCTCCCAATCCGCCTTCGCCGGAACACTCGTATCCTCTGTCTTCTTTTCAATATTCTACATAATCCTTCTATTCCGCTATATCTAAAAAATCGCTTTACTTTTGTTCATTCTCCAGATGTACCATGTAGGGCAAATACTAGAACATTGTTAAGATTTCCGTCTTTCAACACCATGCTCTATTCTCATTCTTTTTCTGTTAACGCAGTACGGTTGTGGAATTCACTTCCCTTTAGGATTCGTGATGCTAAATCGGTGTCTATGTTTAAAAGACTTGTTAAAGAGCACTATCACTCACTCCATAATTACTAAATCGTAATGTGTTGGTATGCATATAAGTAACATTAAAATATATATTGAATTATGTATATTTTTTTATAATATATAATATTTATTTATATATGTATATACGTATATATATATAAGTTTGTATATATTTGTATAGTATATGTATATTTATGCAAGTGCACACTTTGACTACATCTATTTCCTTCAACTATCCTTCAATAGGCCTGCTGGAAGAAATTTCATCATGGAATAAGCAGTGCCTTTGTACATAATTATGTTTTTACCATTTTCTTATCAAATTATGTGTGTACATAAACTGTTAAATAAAATAAATAAATAAATAAAACATACTTTAAACATTGGCGCTAAAACAGCAGATCCCGCATCTCCATAATGAAATGCAGTTAACAACTGAGGCAGAATTTTGTGAACACAAACAGCTTCTGGGAAGTTGTCCAAATATGAACTGAGAGTGGAGAAGAACTTTCCCTTTTCCACCTTATCCTTTATTTGAATTTCTTCTAAGAACAACATTGTATCTATAAGATCGTTTTTAAAATAACCACCAAGTTTTCGGCATCTGAAATGATAAATGACACTTATTGTAAGGTAAGTTCATTACTTTTGTTCTAGTTAGGTTTAAGATTTTTTAGAATGTGCAGTGTTTGCAGAAATATAAGAAATCATTATTATTGTGTACTGTAGAAACAATTGAAATATAATCGGCTTTATTATAAAAAGTAGCTAATAAATTAGTCTCAGGTTTAAAATCAGTCTGATTCATGAATCAAGTCCCATGTGTGGAGTATGCGGCTATAGTATTTTTTCCATTAGAAGAACTCATCTTAAACTATAGTTTAAACTAAAATTAAAAAACTAATAAACCACTTTTAGTCATAAGACGAAAATGTCGTTATTTACTTTGTAACAGTAAAAATTGGACAGCTCTTCCTTCTATGCACTACGCCAATTCAATATGTATTTAATAAAGTTTTCTTGACCATACTAAGTTCTTTGACTAAGCAAATAAAACAATGGATAAAATTTATTTTTTATTTATTTGGACCTGTATTTTTTAATTTATTTGACCTTTTTGACATGTATCTTGTACTATTACTTATTATTTAAAATTGTAATTTGTAAATTAGCATGCTGGCGTTTTGGGCATACTGTAAGCCAGCATGTACCCTGTTTTAAAATAAATAAATAAATGAAAAGTTTTTATCAGTTTCTTTACAATTTTGTGTAGTTTTAGGAATTCAAAAATATCTTATATGTTCCAAATTACAACAAATTTCTAATATTATAATCTGGGTTGGATTTCCTTTTCAATTAAACATTTCCACAAGTGTAAAAACATAAGGTAGCTTAATTATTTGTCAATTATGAGTAAAGAAATACCTTGTTATAATATCAGCTGGATTTGGTCTGGATGCGGGATTTGCACTAACCAGCTCGCAGTATAAGGTACAAAGCTGTTTCGGTATGTGATCAACTGTTTTGAGCGAAGGTTGATTCTTGAGTGGTCCATTAAACGCCTCCCAAATGAGGCAGCCCAATCCCCACATATCTGATGAACTGCAATTCATTAATTAAATGTGTATTTTATTAAATAGGTTGCAGATAATGATTTTTGACTATTTTGCCTTTTAAAAATATTAAAAACAAAGTAATTAATTGATTCTAGGTAATAGGAGTTCTCCCGCCAAGCATCAGTGTGTACACTGCTATGTTCCAGTGCTCAGGCATTCTATCTTAGTCCTTAGAAGTGACAACGCATCTGCAGTCTACTTTATTTCAAGTTGGTATCAGGTGTTCATAGGTCACTTAGCCCACTAGTCACTTACCACCAGTTAAAGCAAGTTTATCTGAGGGCAAGTTTTGATTTTTTAAAGATATCATGTGAGGCCTGTATTGTAGAGACAGTTTACATAGATAAACTGCACAAGGACAAACATCCAGACCTGGAACAATTTTTTGTATGCCATACAAATACTTGCTACGTGCGGGAATCTAACCGGCAGACATTGATACGGCGCTATGGCACAGAGCAGTCAGATCATTGGCCACATCAATTTTATATTAAAAAAAAAACTAAAATTGGAATGGAAGATAAAAATGAGTGAGATCCTTCAAATGACACATTTAGGATGAATCATCTTATTTTAGAATGATTTTAAATAAAATAAATACAAAACATATATAACTTCACCTCACATTTTTATTATAGAATAGAATAGAATAGAATGATTTTTATTCAATATAGATTATTACATAATACTTATTGAAAGTCATTATTTTATTTACCACTGGTTCGGAAAATACCTCTGTCCTGGGAAGAACCAGCAAGAAACCCAGCGGGACTTTTTTTTTTAAACATAATTTCACTTAACAATAATTTTGATTATACAATTTTAAATGAATTTTCATAGAACCAGCATGGTGGCGATCACCTTATTCCCAGGGGTTATTTTCACTCATGTATTCCTTGATATTATAATAACCCTTTTTGTACAGTTTTTCTTTAATAAAACTTTTAAACTTGTTTATTGACAAACTTTGAACATGTTCTGGGATTCTGTTGTAAAAGCGTATACATTGCCCCATAAATGAATTACTAATTCTGTGGAGTCTTGTAAGTGGCATTACAAGCTTATGTTTGTTCCTAGTGTTTAAGGTATGAACATCCTTATTCTTATTAAAGCTATTTATGTTTTTATGTACATACATTACATTTTCATAAATATATTGCGATGCCAAAGTTAATATGTTTATTTCTTTAAATTTTTCTCTAAGGGACTCTTTACAATTTAGATTATAAATCGCCCGTACGGCTCTCTTTTGCAAAACAAATATAGCTTCAATATCAGTCGCATTACCCCATAGCAAAATTCCATAAGACATTACGCTATGAAAGTAACTAAAATACACTAACCTAGCTGTCTCAACATCTGTGAGACTTCTAATCTTTCTTACAGCATATGCTGCAGAACTAAGTCTGCTTGCTAATTTAGATATATGGGGGCCCCATTGAAGTTTCGCGTCAATAGTAATACCGAGAAAAACAGTGGTATCCACAAGACTCAACTCCTCCCCATTTAAGAGCACATTGGTTTTCGAATGTTTTACATTAGGTATTGTAAATTTAATACATTTTGTCTTATTGCCGTTTAAGAGCAAATTGTTGGCGTTAAACCAATGTACTAGTTTGGATAGAGCATTATTTACATCGTCATATTTAATTGACTGCCGTTTCAGTTTGAAAATTAAAGAGGTATCGTCAGCAAATAATACTATATCGTGATTGTCCCCTACAAGATAAGGTAAGTCATTAATATAGATTAAGAACAGGAATGGGCCAAGAATCGAGCCCTGAGGAACGCCCATTGATACTACCGATCCGGAGGAACATTTACCATTAATGACGACTTTTTGAGTTCTGTTACTTAAATATGAAGTAATAAGTTTAAGCGCCAAATTGTTTACACCGTAATGTTGTAGTTTCCTGATTAATGTATCATGATGAACACAATCGAAAGCCTTGGAAAGGTCACAGAAAATACCTAAGGCATCTTGTGAATTCTCCCAGGCATTAAAAATATATTTCATAAGCTCAACACCGGCGTCAGACGTCGAGCGACCCCTTGTAAAACCAAATTGATTTTTATGAAGTAATTTATTTGTATTAAAAAAAATTAACAATTGATCCAAAATTATTTTTTCAAAAATTTTACTGAGAGTTGGTAGTACAGAAATAGGTCTATAATTAGCGGGGTCCAATGTACTACCAGATTTAAATAAAGGTATTACTTTACTATACTTCATTAAATCAGGAAACACACCAGAATCGATACAAGTATTAAAAATAATAGCAAGATGAGGTGCAATTAAATCTATTATGGACGTAATCACTGTAACGGAAATCCCCCACAAATCTTTATAAGGTACTTAAAACAAAGTTAATGAAATAAAATAAAAGTACAATTACCACTTAGTAACAGATTTCAGTTTGCTAGGATCCTTCTTCTCAGGTGGATCATAGATTTCTAGAGCAGGTAATATCTTAATAGGTATCGGACTGGAGGTGTCTTGGCCTTGTGCAGTGAGAAACTCAAAGCCGCCAAGTTTCCACTCTCCAGCAGATGTAACAAACACAGAATAAAGGCAAACATTGTTGTGCCTCATATTACCATCATTGTTGAAAAATGATAGAGCTCTCTGAAAAAGAAACAGTGGAATTTTGCATCATGATACCATAGAGAAGTTAGTTCATTATAATTTTTTTTCAGTTGTTGCAAAATGGAGCTTTAAAATGAATGAAACACATTTACATATATAACACACACCACACTTAAGGTATAGTTGGGCATTTTAACTAGTTTTTTAAAGAAAAAAAAAATACATTAGCTAGCAATGAAGGCAAACATTGTGAGGGAACCTGCATGTGATCTGAGAGGTAAAATATTTCAGACACATGAAGTACGCCAACACTGACTGATTGCTCTATAACATTCTCAGGAATAAGAAAAGGTAAAGTCTAGTAATGGGACCTATATAGGTTGTAACTACATATATGCTAACTTAACTTAAGATTTAAATTAGTATGTGTACCTAATTATAAAATTACAATTACAATTCATATTTACTGAAGATTTTATAAATATTTTTAATTGCATACAGGTGAAGTCATTGTTAGATAAATATTTTGTTGTTTTATATAATATACAAGTTTAATTTCAAAAACCAGTCTGCAACTGTTTAGAACACTGGAATTAGGGTTCCTAAAAATTAAACTATAATTTTTTTTAATGTCTGATTTGAATTTTAAACTCAAATATATAAATAATGGTAAACTGTTATTTGAAATTTTCTTTTTTTTTTCTTTTTCTTTTAAAAAAAAAAAACGTTACCCCCACACTAGGATTTTCTCCTGTGTCGTGGAGGCAGTTTATAAACATAAATTGCACATGGACAAACATCCAGACCCGGAACAATTATTTGTAGGCCATACAAATACTTGTTCCATGCGGGATTCGAACCCGCGGCCCCCAGCGCAACAACTGATTGCTAAGCCACTGTGCCACGGAGCCGTCAAATTTCAATTATCCCAAATTGAATGTGATGTATGGGCAACAATGTTTTTACCTACCGATCGACCCTTACGAATGTGTGAGTGCACAGTAAAAACAGTTTTCACGTGGTAGAGCCATGCTGCAGCTATATTACTGGTATAGTTGTAGCACAAATGGGTCAGCTCGACCAGGGAAGGACCACGCTCTCACAGAATACCAGCATAAAATAGCAGCATAACGCTGCTGTGTTTTATATGGTGAATGTAGAGAACCGGAGACCCTTTTTTACTGGAAACGAGGCATTCCATATTAGTCCTCACGTGTGACAATGCATCTGCATTTTGATTCGTAATCGAGCATAGATGTAGATGTCTATGGGCCACAGCAACCACTTACCATCAGGTGGACTGTGTGCTCGTTTGTCACCCTAATTCTATAAAAAAAAAGTTAAAAATAAAACATTACCAGCATTTTGAATTGAAAAGATAAAAAGGACAGAATGTTTGTGGTTTTTTTTTAAATTAATTTTTCTTCACCATTTGCCTATATTACTTACTCTGAACCTTCTCTCCAAATTTGGCTGATTATTGCAAAATAACCCTGTACCATTTCATGAATGCCGTTACCTCCCGGCGCACCTCAAGCGTCGCCCTTATAGTACCAATAGCAATGCTGAAATATATCTACGTTCATTGTTTGTGCTCCCGTGAGATCTCTAGTTTGTTACTATTTTTGTTGTTGTTTTTATTAGTGTTGATTTTGTGTTTCCGTTAACTTTTTATGTTCGTTAATTTATGATAAACACAGAATGGAGTGATGGCAATGATTCAGAAATGAACAATTTAAAATAACTAGTATCGAATTAATGGATACATAAATATATACCTACCAGTTTATTTTCGCGCCTTCGTAAATAATTCATTTAAAATGTATAATAAAACTATAATGAAAACATTTTATTTTATCAGACACGTTTTTCTATTCAGTGCTAATATTTTACTTTACTAACTAAATAAATTATTCAATAATATGCATTTAATAACTTGCTTGCCCTCCCTTTCTCTGTACAGGGCAACAAACTACTAATTAAACACTTACAGTAATAGTTTTATCTATGGTACCGTCAGCTGTGACGTCTTAACGGTCGGCGACGGCAAACTCAATATGAACGCGTAGTATACATCTATACAATTACCAAGTGTGACAAATATGAAATTTACCTCATGTGGCCTATGAAGGAATTTAAAAGTCAGCTGCGGAGACTATTAGTCTATACTTAACTGTATGTAGAATGAAAAATTCGAAATTAAGATTTGAAGGTAAAATATATTACCTATAATTGATTGAGTGAGTGAAGTATTCTCTCACTAGCTGACTAGTAGGATAATTTTTATTCAACATTAAAAAAAACTGAAATGATTAACATGTGCAATGTAGCATACCTGTTTAAGATGGAATGCCTCATACCCTATAATTATGCTGGCTATCTATACAGATGGGAACACAGCAGATTAGAAAAGAATTTAAAAAATATGGTTGACCCTACAGGCCATCCATGGAACTTACTGCTAATTTCAAATGCAAAGTGCTCCAAATTCTACCTTTTATGACGTTTTGAGCTTTTCGAGATTAAAAACGTAATTTATTACACCAAAAACAATCCAAGAAGAAATTTCAATGTTATTAGAAAAAATACTTTTTTGAAATATTTCGTTTACAATTTCTCTTCAATGCATTCACCGATTTTGACACGGTTTAAAGCAATCAACGGCATTTTTTGAGGTTAAGAGCTGATTAGATTTTGGAGTTGATCGTTGCATCTGTTTAAGTTAGTTAAAAAAAATATTTTTGAGATTTCTCCAAATCCACCACTTCAAATGGAATAGAAAATCTAAGTTTTGTGAAGACCTTTCGAACGCCGCCAAGTTCGTTCAAATCGGTCAAGCGATTCAAAAGTTATGAGAGGGTTACATACATCCATACACACACACACCAACATACATACAGACATAGTGACATCCTCGTAGGAATAGTGAAAATAGCTTCCTAGGACCACTAAACGTTGAGATCTGATGAAACCTCAATTTTTGAAAAATTGGATAAAACCAATAACTTCCAGATTTTTTGGAAATCATTGATTTTCATAGCGGGTAGTTAAAATAAATTTAATGAAGGGTAAATGTAGATATCTATGGGCCACAGTATCCACTTACGATCAGGTTGACTGTGTGCTTGTTTGTTACCCTTATTCTATAAAAAAAAATAACTAACTCTGTGGAGTTCAGAAACAAGCATTACTAACTTATGTTTGTTTTTAGTATTTAAAGTATGTATATATCCCTTTTTTATGCCTATGCACACACTTCTAAACTATAATCTTAATTTGTTATCTATTATTTCATTTATTTTATATTAGTAGTAGTAAAAAAAATATACTTACAGTAATTTGAAAAATACCCCAAGCAAGAAATAAGTCCTTTTGCTGGCCTTCAAGCCTCATATCTTCCAAATGAGTCACCAAAGGTTCTACTAATTCTGTAGCTACATATAAAAATTTCTCAGTTTCACAACTATCTAAATAATGTAACAGGCTAGGATGTCTCATAGTTTTTAGTTTTTTGAGCGATGCCTTTGCTATATCAAACAGAGTCTCTGAACTTTTCTGAACATCGAATAAGAAAATGGACACCTCATCTTGTGTACCTCTTTTCTTTCCCTTGTGTAAAGACCATACAGACCTATCTTCTAATCCATGAACTGGATCCCCTACTTCGTATGGGAAATCTTTTGTGGGATCCCTCGAGAAAAACGACCACATATTGCACCAAAGTCAATTAAAATGTATAATTATTTACAACAGACAAATATACACATTGTGGAATACATTTCACAAATAATGAAGTTGCCCTAGAAGTTATAATAAAACGCGTTGTATTAATTAATTCAAGCACACTTATAAAAAGTTCATGATCATAATTTAATAAAATTGTGATCGTAAATAATTAAACCTACTAAAACTACGAAAGAGCGACAAATTGACAACTGGGTGTAGGGATATTCGATATACATCGATGCATCGAATTCACTCGATGTTTACAATACGATGCATCGAATCGATCCGATGTTTTGGAAAGTTATTGATATACTCGATGTATCGATGTATTTTCATAAAACATCGAATCAATGATAACACTATTAATATTATAACTTCTAAATCAGAAAAACAGCGCTCTTATTTAGAAGTTATAATATTAAACCTGTTGGTGGCGCTACTTGGCAGCTGTCAGCCCTTATCGGAATTAAGAAATTGGCTGGTTGGCAACACTGTGCTAAAGAGAATAAAAAAAATCGTCTGGTCTGTCTCGGTTTTAAGGCGGCTACTCACTTGCATGCCGCAGGGCAATCTAGGATGAACAGCGATCGGGACAGTATCAGAATTGTTTCTCTACACACATGCCTGCCGTTCAGTATGAAAGTGTACATCTCGGTGAACACATGCGTTGAGACTGGCGCCAGTTTTATCGAAATATCAATGAATCGGTAAATATAGCCTTGGTTCTTTTTTTATAAAGAATAAGGGTGACAAATGAGCACAGTCCACCTGATGTTAAGGAGATACTGTGGCCCATAGACACCCATATTTATGATAAAACAACTAATTAATTAATAATTACAACCATAACACAGTCCTTAAAAGCTGCAGCATGACTTTACCACGTTTAAAAACATTACAACGTTCAAATAACGTTCCTTCTGCGGTGCTGCCGTAAAAAAAAACAAAAAAGAGATAATGGGTGAAGAAGCCGCTGTTTATACACTTCGATCACCAGTGTCCAAATTTCACATTTTTTATTGATATCTATTGTGAAGTGTGCTGCACGCGAAAGTCATTAACGAACTGATTGAAATTGTTCCAATTGCGCTACACACGTAGCAGCGGCAGCTATGATCTAGGGTGCAAGGAAGTTCTTGCGCCCCTGCCGCCCAGCCACAGGGCCGACTTAGGAAGTTACCCCTGCTTCCATACACACATCACAATTAAGGAGGAAATTAAGGGTAATCCCCACTTCTACACCCTAGATTGCCCCTGCGGCAGGCAAGTGAGTTAACGCCTTTAGACCATTTAACACAGTGGACTCGCCTCGCATGATTATTGCCCTCTGCCAAGGTATTGCATTTAAAAATCTTGTGCGTTGATTAAACCTGCTTACGGAATCGTTTTTATAAACGCACTAGATTTTTATCCTTATAAGAATCATTTCCGCCGAAGTAGGTGTTTTTTGAAAAATGCCAATCGGTGCGGTTAACGTGTGCATAAAGCAGTCAAATACTTAAAGTTTACAAAAAGATGGAGTTGTATTCCATATGTAAGTATTTTTATTGTGAATGTATCAATTTTAATCATTTAAAATAATATCATAAACATTGACCTACTACTAAATGGGCTTCGGCTATGCGCTCAAAAGTGTCCGAGCCAAAAGAGTTCCAAAATGCAAAAAGAGCTCGAATTGAACGCCAGTCTTCGTTTTGTCGCCCGATAATACACTTCAAATTGCCGTACAGTATTACAAAACGAGCAAAACTTTTTATATATTTTTTCGATGCTATTTATATTAGACTATCAATATTTAATAATTTAAAAATAATATTTTGTTTAGATACAAGATACGTAGTATTTAATTTAAATTCACATTAATTGTAAAAACAAAAAACCATACCAATAATTTTCGCTAGAAGCTTCATGAGGCGAAAAGAATGCAGCCTCTGGTTGAAGTTAAAAGGCTGATAAATTGTCGCAAGTAAAATGATATATATAATACGTTTGTATAGGTTGACTCGAGACACATTTTTCGTGAATTTTGTTCTAGATCTGCCGTCCATTTAGTAGTAGGTGAATGATCATAAATAATAATTTATTTATTCTTTATTGCATTCCTTAATATAAAAGAATACAAAGGGAATAATACAAAAAAAATCTACCAATCAACCGACGAGAATTTGACGTAGGTGTAGCAGTATAAAATAATAACAAAATAAAAATGATAATTAACTAAGTTATATATTAATTTTACAAATATATAAAAAATATAGTATAGAAATATCTCCTATTTATGCATATATACAAATATATGCATACAGACGCATACATACATATATACACATCAACATACAAATATAAATAATACAAATAAATAACTATGAATATTTACGTCTGTTTACAATATATTAGTTCTTACGAATAAGACACTTTGTGTGTCATGCAATTAAGAATATCTATCTATCTAAATAACATCCTTGAACACACATACACACTCACAAAAGGCGTGCTGGCAGATAGTACTGATGTAAGAGTAGTAGATCATTCAAAATTGTCGGTTGTTTGAAGTCAGAAAAAGTACTCGATGTTGAAAAAAACATCGATGTTTTTAACCGATGCATCGGAATATATCGATGCACAGTTTCGATGCATCACATCGAAAAAAAACATCGATGTATTTTCAAAGTGGACACCCCTAACTGGGTGGTTGACAATTGACATCTGATCTAGGGATGCTCGATGATCATCGATGTCGAAAATGAAAACATCGATGTTGCCACATGTCAAACATCAAAACATCGATGTCAATAAACCCACAATCGATTACTGGGTACTTGCGAACACTGTGAACCCACGAAATCAATATCAACTAAATCTTCCATCTCCTCTAAAATATTTAAAATTTTGAATAAATCAGAATGCTTGAACGCATCGATAACCTTAAAATATATCATTATGGTGTATCAAATTTAACTGTCAAGTGTCAACTGTAATGTCGCAGTTGTCATTCATTTCGTTTTGTTATTGGCGACGTTGTTGGTTGTCTGTTTCTTGGTCGATTGTTTTTAAAAAAATCCGATGGTTGATCGTAAAGACGATCCAATGCACGTTTAAAGTAAAGTAAAGTAAAAGTAAAGTTGCAGCCTATTTACGTCCCACTGCTGGGCACAGGCCTCCTCTCATTTCTGAGAGGGTTCTAGGGCAAGGAAATTCAATGTCCACCGCGCTGCCCCAATGCGTGTTGGCGAACTTCACATGTCATCGAAATATTTTTTAATTCTCAGACATGCAGGTTTCCTGACGATATTTTCCTTCACCGCCGAGCACGTGGTAAATCAGCACTTAAAATTGCAATTAACAATTTCATTGGTGCCGGCGGGGATCGAACCCGGGTTGCTCGAGTACTGTGAAGCTTACAGCGAGCGCTAACCATCTGAGCTACCACGGCTCTAATGCATGTTTAGAACAATGGTATTGGTGCTACCTATCTAAAATTAAAAAAATTGTGGGAGATGTTTGACCACGACCGCTACATCAACGCCATCTGGGCATTTTTCTACTGACTTCAAAAAGGACCACTAAAGTGTTGAATATTTCTTGTTGCAAAATAATGTATTATAATAAAAACCAGTTTGTTGCCACTTTATAATACTTTGTATATTTATTTTAATATAACCGACATATGTTTTAATAATATTTTATATAGTATATTTCTAGGGCAGGCGGGAAAACGTACATTGACCTAAAGTATTATGTTAGCACCGAAACAAAACGACAGGTATTGCTTCCATACATTTTATTATCGATTACGTATCGTTATGCGCTAAGCGTGTTTTATGGTACAGGGTGGGGTGAAGAAAGCGGTCATTCAGAGATAAAACCTAATCCGAGACAATACCACTTTTAAAACGGCAGTCGTCAAAAAACTATTTGAAGAAGGACTATACAATATTGACCATATAAAGTGGAAAAACTGCATTAACCAAGTCATAAAAGAAGAAAACAAATCAAATGAATTGTATAATGCCATTCATAAAACTGTAGATAGTAATCTCTTATGAGAAGTTTTATGCATGCTTTAAGGTTGACTGCTAAAGAATGCATTAAAAGTTCGCCATTTTACCTGACTGCCAAGAAGTGGTTATGCTATGTACAACTACCTACCTACCTACTTATTTCACTAATTATCTAGTGTTAACGTAATAATTAAAATTGAACGTGATAATTAAAATTAACGTAATTTATTATTTATAAACCATAAACTCTTATGGTTTATAGATAATAAATTTAAATTAATGTTAATTTGATTTTTAATTCATAGTACAGGATAATCGTCTTTAATTCATAATAAAATAATAGACATAGGACCTGCGAAGAACTACGCACTCGGCACTCTTTTCTTTCACTCTGATGGTGTATGTAATGATACTAGGATAAAAAGATAAAACTAAGAAAAAGGTTGGCTACACCGATGATATCGTCAAAGGTCAATGTACGTTTTACCGCCTGCTCTAGAAACATACTATAATTGAATATAGAAACAGACGTTGAGCCTGCAATTGTGTTGTCGAAATTCAAGAAAACTGTATGTTTGTTATAATGTGTGTTACCTTATAACTTTTTTCTTTTCTTTTCACTGTGCGATTTAGAAGATGTTTTCTTCCTCGCACGACTTCCTTGTGGAATCGATTACCATCAGCGATTTTTCCGGACCGATACGACTTAGGGACCTTCAAGAAAAGAGTCTACTCCTTTTCAAAAGGCCGGCAACGCATCTGCAATTCCCTTGGTTCCCCTGGTGTTGCAGTTATTAATGGGCGGCGGTAGTCACCTACCATCAGGAGAGCCGCATGCTCGTCTGCCCCCTCTCTTATAAAAAAAAATCTCTTCGCAGCGCCAATGAATCGAGCCGATCGGAAAGGTCGTCGACGATTGTAGCCGCTCTGCGCTGGATGCGGTCAAGTGGAAGAAGCTGGCACTGAGGAGCCCCAGCGCAGAGA